TTTTTTTTATATATTTCCCTTCTTTTCTTTCCTCTCAAACCCAACAAGCATCGATGTTTCAATAATATTATATTTATCAAGTTTTTGATCAAATTATTTATTCTAAGTGATATAACATATTCTCTATTAATATTAATAAAATTCACCTATTTGATTGTAAAAATTATATCACATCACTTAAAATGAAAAATTCAGTAAAAAATCTTGGTCAACATTATTTACGGCAAAGATTTTGCTGCAAATCCAAATCCGACAAAGAGGTGGGGTTGTTTTGATAATTTCCAGAACAAAAAAGGTCTTACGTTGTTCTAAACACACAGTCCAACCATAAAGAAAGTCTAACTAAACTCAATTTCTATCGCAAAATGCTATATTTACCAAAAAAAAATTATCAAATCTTTTATAGCAAACATACTTTACCCATTTCTATATTTTCTCCGCCGAACCAACCAATTATAATGACCGGCGGCCTATACAGCTCATAAGACGCAACAACATGAACTCTACTTTCGCCGTCGATCGACCCATTCGAACTCCCTCAGTTTCGACCTTTCAAAACCCTAATCCCTTCAAAACCCGACTATTCTCAAACACCAGATTGCCATGGCGTTTGCGTCTCAGAGACCCATCGAATCACAAAAGCTCCACAAGTTCTTCTTTGGGTACTTCTTCGACAATCAATGAGGTTCCACGTAAAATTGGCGGTCTTCGATCGACTCGAGTTAGGGTTTCTTCAGATGCTTCTCAGTCGTACGCTGGTGGATTGGTACGGGAAGATGAAGGCGGATTGCCAGAGCCGAGTTTCGTGGAGTTTATCACTTCGGAGAGAGTTAAAGTAGTGGCAATGGTGGCCTTGGCGTTGGCGCTGTGTAATGCGGACCGAGTTGTTATGTCTGTGGCCATTGTTCCTTTGTCTCTTTCTCATGGTTGGCGTCAATCTTTCGCTGGTGTTGTTCAGGTATTTCCGTTTCTATAGATTTTTTTTATACATATAACTGTCTTTTAGCTTTGAAAATATTATGTATTGCCTGTACATCAGTATTGGATGCCTTAAATGTTTCAATATTTGGCTCTGGTGTGTTACCCCCCACCAAAACACACAAAGACTACAGAATAGGAGTTAGAAATTTACCTATTGAAATATTGTGTATGTTTATGACTACTTCCACAGCCTGCTTGATTCAGTTTGTGGTGATTTTTCTGGAAGCTATAGAAATATACTGGGTAAATCTGCTGTAAGAGTATTATTTTTTTGGCATTAATCAGATAAGGTAAAACTCTCTCTTAAGGAAATAATCATCTCTTTTGAAATACAATGATTATCTATTGTGTATTTGTGTTCCAATGAGATTGCTTCTTGAACATGGTCTTTGTCTTCCGGGCAAGTGACAATTTCTTTTTCAAGCATGATGGTTTCTTTTTAAAGATCATTTGTTTTGGTCTAGCAAAGTGTTTATCTGAAATTGCTAGAGTGGGGGATGATATGCAGTAAAACATTTTGTTGGCTGAGAATTCTGAAAGATAATTTGCTGCCTAGGAATTTCTTTTATCAATTTACAAAATGATGATGAGAAGGAAGCAGTTTTGATTGCAGCTGTGGTATTAATTATTTTCTACCTCTAATTGATAACTAGTCACTAATGGCAGTCATCTTTTCTCTGGGGATACCTTATATCACCAATAGCTGGAGGGACTCTTGTGGATTACTATGGTGGTAAGGTAGTCATGGCATGGGGTGTGGCTTTGTGGTCACTGGCCACATTTCTTACTCCATGGGCTGCGGAAACTTCTTTGTGGGCTTTACTCGCTACACGAGTTGTGCTGGGCATTGCCGAAGGGGTGGCTCTTCCATGCATGAACAACATGATTGCAAGGTACTGATGTTCTAAAATTTCCCCAAATGAATATATTCCGGTCATGGTCTTCATATTCTGTTAAGAAGGTGCTGTAGCTATAATCTTGGTAAGTGGTTTCAACTTTTGCTTTCAGATGGTTTCCTCAAACAGAACGATCCAGGGCTGTTGGGCTTGCAATGGCTGGATTTCAGCTTGGAAGTGCCATTGGACTTACCCTTTCTCCAATCCTCATGTCCCAAGGTGGTGTGTTTGGACCCTTCGTAATATTTGGATTATCCGGATTTCTTTGGGTATTGGTATGGTTATCAGCAACCTCAAGCACGCCTGAACAAAGTTCTCAAATATCAAAATATGAATTGAAGTACATACAGAACAAGAGGCAGAAGTCCTTCGTGGCTGAGAATAAAATGAAGACAGGCAAAATGATCCCTCCTTTCAAACGTTTACTTTCTAAGCTACCCACCTGGTCTCTAATTGTCGCTAACGCCATGCATAGCTGGGTAATTCACACACATCTTCCTTTAGTTTATTCTTTTACTCATGCTTTTTAATGCACCTAATACTTGACATGATTTTGCCACTACCATGCTGCAATTGTGCAGAATGGAGTTAAGCTACATATATCACTCATAGTCAATAGAGCAGACTGCCATACTGATGAGGGACAAATTGTTGTCTAGTAGTGGACCCCAACAATTCACTTGCTTTTTTTTGAACATCGCTAAAATAAATACATATATGATCGGCCTTCGTATGCATGTCAGTATATGCATTTGAGTGTGATTGTACTTGAATACATATGATACATTCTTTATGAGCCCATTTTTTGTATTTTATAAATTACCATGCATGCTCATTTTTTCTTAAATTTTTCATGCAGGGTTTCTTTGTTATTCTTTCATGGATGCCCATTTATTTTAAAACGGTAAGGCGCTACCACTTTCTCAGTAATTGTAGCATTATAGGCACTTACCTGATTGACTACATAATAGTAGAGATAATGAATGGTGCTTTGTGGTTATAGATATATCACGTTGATCTCAGACAAGCAGCATGGTTTAGTGCTGCTCCCTGGAGTATGATGGCGATAGTAGGCTATTTTGCTGGTGTTTCATCGGACATGTTGATTAAAAATGGCATGAGTGTCACTTTGACTCGCAAGATTATGCAGGTGCTGCTTTTATAGGTGTTGCAATTACTTATTTGCTTTTCTCATTTGAATTTTTGAGTCTTCTAACTACTTGCAATGTAATACAGTGAGAAGCTAATGTATCCCTTCTTGCAGTCAATTGGTTTTATTTGCCCTGGGATTGCTCTCATTGGACTAACAATGGCAAAAAGTCCATTAATAGCATCTGCTTGGCTTACCTTAGCCGTTGGGTTAAAATCTTTTAGTCATTGTGGCTTCCTTGTGAACCTGCAGGTAGTGAATTCAGAAAACTTTGATGAATCATCAATAAATGCATTATTTTTGCACTATATGTAACATATCGTGCTTTCTGTAATCAGGAGATTGCTCCACAATATTCCGGAGTTTTACATGGTATGTTATCCATCACATTGTGTATTTTCCAAAATTTTAGTACCTCTCGATAATCCGCGCATCCAGGATTATATAACAGTAGAAAGGGAAGTTTTACAAACCAAAAAGTCCAGCTCATGTAACTAGTGCTAATCATTGTTCAGCATTGACTAATTTCCATAACTCCATTAATCTTCCTATATGGTTGTCTGGGAGTTGTTTTTAGGGAAATTGGTGATAGAAATCCTAGCATTGGGTATATTCTTTCACTCCTACTAAAGTACATCTGGCAATTGTTGCATGTGCACTATGTTCTTCCTTAAGGTTTTACGTATTTCAAATTCCATTTTAGAAAATTATCTTGTATACAACCCACTTTAAATAAACTCATACCTCCCCGTGTGGGTGAGCAAGAATGAGAGATGATTAATTGCATAACAGCAGTATCCACAACCCTTTTATGGGCTCCGTAGCAAGAAATAATATATTCTATTAAATAGAATCCTTTGCATAAATTGATTTGAATGGATAAATCAATCATTTGTCCCTGAGGAGCTAACATTAATCCTCTCTTACCTACAAATTGATGCACCTGAGATGCATTTCCTCTAGCTCCTGAAAAAGACATTATATGGACCGGATTAAAAGGGTCAGTCATCCTAAAATTAGGATTCATCTCTGTCGCAAATATTCAGTTGTAGCATACCAAAATAGAATCTGGTATTTTTGCCCTGATTACATTCACTTTTATCATGTTATAGGCATGTCAAATACTGCTGGAACATTTGCTGCTATTTTGGGAACAGTTGGAGCTGGTTACTTTGTGGAATTGGTCGGTTCTTTCAGGGGATTTTTGTTGCTTACATCTCTCTTATATTTTTCTGCTGCTCTATTCTGGAACATCTTTTCCACAGGAGAGAGGGTTAATTTTGATGAATCTGGTTAGATCACCCAAAAGTTTGATTTTTTTTTTTTTCTAGCTTCTTTCCTTGTAAAGGAATAATGATGCAAATGCGATAACTTTATCCCATTTTACAAGTAGGTGGTATTAGAAATTTAAGCTATGCTAGTAAATATCATGTGGGTAAAGTTGGTGGATAGCTTTGTATATGAAGAATCACATTGCATGGGAGGATATGCTGTTGCCAAATTCTGTGACTACCTCTTACACCCCCTCGAAAAGACTCCCTCCTTGCACTATATGTAGGAGTTTCAAGATACAAAATGTACTCTTACTAGGGTCAAGTCAATCAAGGGCAACATTGTCAACGATTTTTGCCTCGAACAACTGTTAGTGGGGTTATAATGCGAGAGTCCAAAATATTTAAATAATGTAGAAGAGTGAGTATTAAAAATTACTTGTTAGCATTGCCCACAAATGTTATAAAAGTGTGGGAAGCAAGAATTCAAATTAATTATTAAAATTTGGGTATGTGAAGGAATTGAATTAAATAATTTTTAAATTAATTAAAGTGGTATTATGAGAATTTAACAGGTAGCTATGGCCTAAGATGTGGGTTATAGCATATACTGAAAATGTTAATCATTAAAGATTTTATCAATTTTTTATAATGAACAAATATATTCTCACCATTATTGTGTCATAGCCACCACCACCATTATACCACCGCTACCATTATCACCACCACCATTGTCACTGTTANGTATAATGCGAGAGTCCAAAATATTTAAATAATGTAGAAGAGTGAGTATTAAAAATTACTTGTTAGCATTGCCCACAAATGTGATAAAAGTGTGGGAAGCAAGAATTCAAATTAATTATTAAAATTTGGGTATGTGAAGTAATTGAATTAAATAATTTTTAAATTAATTAAAGTGGTATTATGAGAATTTAACAGGTAGCTATGGCCTAAGATGTGAGTTATAGCATATACTGAAATCATTAAAGATTTTATCAATTTTTTATAATGAACAAATATATTCTTATCACTATTGTGTCATCGCCACCACCACCATTATACCACCGCTACCATTATCACCACCACCATTGTCACTGTTACCATCACTACAACCCTTGTCGCCCCCACCACCATTGTTGTCACCTCTTTCCCCATCATCACTATCATTGTGTTGCTGTCATTACTACCATTATATCGCCACCATTGTACCACCGTTATTACGACCACCACTGTCATCGTCACCACCACCATTGTGCCACCGCCATCACCACTGTCACTACTATTGTCACNTATCACCATCATTGTGTTGCTGTCATTACTACCATTATATCGCCACCATTGTACCACCGCTATTACGACCACCACTGTCATCGTCACCACCACCATTGTGCCACCGCCATCACCACTNAGTCAAGGGTTCAAGCCCCTTCTCCCTCGTCTTTCAAAAAAAAAATGAATAAAAGACGATTAATGTTATTATATCTCTAATACTTTAGATGTCAATATATATCAAGAGAGTGATAGAATTGGAACAAAATATAAATTTTATGGAATTTAGGGCTTCACTGAGGTAAAATATCAAAATTAGAACTTCATTGATATAAAATAAAATGTTATTTTTTTTCTTTTTTTTGAACATGGAACAAGTCTTGTAGNCCACCACCATTGTTATGGTGGTAATATGAATAATATGGTTGTGGAGAAATGGTTAAAGAGAAGGACAAAGTTAGAATAATAATATTTTTCAGACTTCAGCTCTTTATATTTGTCAAACAGTTTAATTAAATTCAATATTTAAATTTCAATTGATAACAAACAGTTTACGAATTAAAAAATTTAACATTCAATTTTTAGCATTCAGCTATCAGTATTATTAAAAACCACCTTACCTTATTAAACTACAATTGGCTCTCTCAATATTCAAAAAAATAATGTTATTTAGATCTAATTATGTATAATTGATAATGGATTCCACTCATTATTTATTGAAACTTGTTACCAATTCAATTATTATGATGAATCAAGTTAACAAATTAAATCTAAATAGCATTACTCTTTTGAATATTAAATGAGTTTAAATCTTGATAACCTCTTGATGTCAAGTTAGGGATTTATCCCTCATAAATATTCTAGTCCTAACATAAATGACTTGTATTTGATTGAACCGGAGAAAAAATTAGTTGAGATGCACATTAATTTATTCGAACACCTCTCACTGTTGAAAGAAAAAAAAAGAAGAATGAAAGAGTCAATTGACCAAAGCAAGTTTTAAATGTTTGAATAGTCTTATAGTTTTTTTCTTGAGAAAATTACCAATAAGTATTATTATCTATTAAATTCTATCATTTTTGTTTTATATCATGAAGTTCTATTTTTAATATTTTATTTTAATTAAGTCCTAATTTCACTATATTTCAATTTTGTCATTTACCTTTAGTTACCAAAAGCCTTTCATTTTTCTTCTTGTGTATCAACTCTTAGTTAACTTATTCTTTTTTATATGAGTTAATTTACTTATTTTTAAAAAATAATGTCAAATTTTTATTGAAACTACAATTACAGACATTTAGATGCTTAGTTTTTGTTTAGGTATTAGTATTTACTTTCATAAAATTATCAAATAAACAATACATAATTTAAAACTCAAGAAGTTGAGGTATTATGAAAAAAAGACAATCAATGGTAATCGTTACCTTGTAAATGTTTTACCTTCTTGANTCATCACCACTGCCATCACCACTACCACTGTGTCACCACTATCACCACCATTGTTATGGTGGTAATATGAATAATATGGTTGTGGAGAAATGGTTAAAGAGAAGGGCAAAATTAGAATAATAATATTTTTCAGACTTCAGCTCTTTATATTTGTCAAACAGTTTAATTAAATTCAATATTTAAATTTCAATTGATAACAAACAGTCTACGAATTAAAAAATTTAACATTCAATTTTTAGCATTCAGCTATCAGTATTATTAAACACCACCTTACCTTATTAAACTACAATTGGCTCTCTCAATATTCAAAAAAATAATGTTATTTAGATCTAATTATGTATAATTGACAATGGATTCCACTCATTATTTATTGAAACTTGTTACCAATTCAATTATTATGATGTATCAAGTTAACAAATTAGATCTAAATAGCATTACTCTTTTGAATATTAAATGAGTTTAAATCTTGATAACCTCTTGATGTCAAGTTAGGGATTTATCCCTCATAAATATTCTAGTCCTAACATAAATGACTTGTATTTGATTGAACCGGAGAAAAAATTAGTTGAGATGCACATTAATTTATTCGAACACCTCTCACTGTTGAAAGAAAAAAAAAGAAGAATGAAAGAGTCAATTGACCAAAGCAAGTTTTAAATGTTTGAATAGTCTTATAGTTTTTTTCTTGAGAAAATTACCAATAAGTATTATTATCTATTAAATTCTATCATTTTTGTTTTATATCATGAAGTTCTATTTTTAATATTTTATTTTAATTAAGTCCTAATTTCACTATATTTCAATTTTGTCATTTACCTTTAGTTACCAAAAGCCTTTCATTTTTCTTCTTGTGTATCAACTCTTAGTTAACTTATTCTTTTTTATATGAGTTAATTTACTTATTTTTAAAAAATAATGTCAAATTTTTATTGAAACTACAATTACAGACATTTAGATGCTTAGTTTTTGTTTAGGTATTAGTATTTACTTTCATAAAATTATCAAATAAACAATACATAATTTAAAACTCAAGAAGTTGAGGTATTATGAAAAAAAGACAATCAATGGTAATCGTTACCTTGTAAATGTTTTACCTTCTTGAAGTCAAGGGTTCAAGCCCCTTCTCCCTCGTCTTTCAAAAAAAAAATGAATAAAAGACGATTAATGTTATTATATCTCTAATACTTTAGATGTCAATATATATCAAGAGAGTGATAGAATTGGAACAAAATATAAATTTTATGGAATTTAGGGCTTCACTGAGGTAAAATATCAAAATTAGAACTTCATTGATATAAAATAAAATGTTATTTTTTTTCTTTTTTTTGAACATGGAACAAGTCTTGTAGTTTTTTTTTTTTTTTTTGAAAGTCTATAGTTGAAAGATGGAAAAAGTAATTAGTTTATGAAAGTAACTGTCAACGGTTTCCTCTGAATTTGCTTATTATGTACGATGCGATCATCCTTGCCGCCCCAAGGGTTCACCGGCGCTGCAAATGAAGAAACCACCGAGCCCTCCCATCATCCGTCCCGGCCAAATCAGGAAACAAAGCCCTAATTCCCAACTCAAACCGATCGGCGATAACAAAAATCAGAAGAAGAACACTCACACTGCTTTCAATTCCATCAGAGTTGCAGCAAAGAAATTCGCTGCAGTTTTCTCTACCCTTCTGTTTCGGCGAAGAAAAACCACCCCCAAGGAAAGTAAAATCCATGGTCAAATCAGAGAGCCACCCTGTAAGTTACTCTGCTCAGACTCTATAGAGTTTTAGGAGTTTCAGTTCGATCTCTCTCGTATGTACTAACTGGTTTTTGCTGGTAATTTTGTAGTTTCAATAGACAATTCTACTGGAAGCAGAAGCAAGGATTTGATAAAGTCCAAGAATTCTGATTCTTATGGGTCTTTCGAGGTGACTAGTAGAGAGGTAGGAACGCTTGATCTGTCCTTTGACGAAATTTACAAGGCAACTGGAAATTTCTCCCCAGCTAATACGATTGGTGAAGGAGGGTTTGGAACAGTGTACAAAGGAAAACTCAAGGATGGATCTGTTGTCGCCGTAAAGCGTGCTAAGAAAGTAAATAATCTCTATTGATTATGTTAATTTGAACTATTATGCTCTGACTGATCAGGAATTCCATAAACTTGTGCCCTTGAGAGAACAGAGCTGGTAAATTATCAATTATCAATTACCAATTGCATTGCCATTTCCCATACTCGAAATCAGTTGGATGCAAGAAATGAAAAAGTTCAGACAAACTTAAATTCTTTCAAAGATTATTGAAGTAATAGAACTNCGGTAAATTATCAATTATCAATTACCAATTGCATTGCCATTTCCCATACTCGAAATCAGTTGGATGCAAGCAATGAAAAAGTTCAGACAAACTTAAATTCTTTCAAAGATTATTGAAGTAATAGAACTAGAAGAGTTTGCTTCAGGGTCACTCACACATTTAATCAACACTTCAAATTTTCTATGACAGGATAATCATGATATTCGCTTATCTACTGAGTTTAAGAATGAAATCCTGACCTTATCAAAGATCGAGCATCTAAATTTGGTAGGGTTGTTGGGATATGTGGAGCATGGAGATGAACGGATTATTGTGGTCGAGTATGTTGCCAATGGGAATCTACGAGAACATTTGGATGGTATGTCAAGCAACATATTGGCTAAATGAAAGATATGCAATTTGCCGGTTGAGTGGCTGAAGATCTGTTATGTAGTGTAGCCTTATTGCATCTACTAAAGGTTTCTGATTGAGCTTCTACAGTTCCATAAACCTCAACATTTAGACTCTTTTTTTTGAGGGGGAAAATAACATTTAGACTTTACTACAATATAAAATACGTTGCCCATATGAAGGATATGCATTTGCCACGTATCACTAGTTATGCTTCGTTTTTTATCTAAAACAAAAATGCTAGGCATGTAATGAAGGGAAAATGAGGAAAAAAATGATTTGCCAAGAGCACAGCATGCGGGCCCTGGTAGATGGTCTGGCTAGAAGAATTCTTTCATCGTATAACCTGTTAATTAAGTTTTCTTGTAGTAGGACACCACTTTTTTTCACTAATTTTAAACAGCAGATGGATCAAAGTGTTTGCTCATATTTCAACTGGGGAAAGTTAAGATGAGAATATTATTTTGTGCAGCTACACATGGAAATGAGCTTGAGATGTCAGAGCGTCTGGACATTGCAATTGATGTTGCTCATGCAGTTGCCTATCTGCACACGTACACAGGTATGATACAATATGGTGTTTTTTTTTCAATATTGTTGTTGCCTACAGCCAGTATGATCTTTAATCACGCGAACATTATAAAGATGGTCAAAAGGAAGAAATGATTTACTGTTAACAGGATACGTCTCTGAAGTTTAAAAGCCAGACTGCTAAATCTGTAGAATTTCCTAACCATGGCTATTTGATTGTGGAAGATTATAAGATGCCCTACTGAGTAAAGCAGACCGCTTGATGCTTGACATGACTCATAGTACTTCATAAATTTGGACCATAAAAGCATTCAAAACTTCTCAATTTGTTCCTTTTACATGCAGATCCTCCCATAATCCATAGAGATATAAAAGCATCAAACATCCTCATCACAGAGAAATTCCATGCTAAAGTGGCTGATTTTGGATTTGCACGGTTAGCTGTTGAAGATCCTGATGCAACTCACATTTCTACACAAATAAAAGGAACAGCAGGATATGTGGATCCTGAATATATTAGGACATATCAACTCACTGAAAAGAGTGATGTGTACTCCTTTGGAGTATTGCTGGTGGAGATGATGACCGGAAGGCACCCAATTGAATCAAAGAAAAACATCAATGAGAGAGTTACGGCAACATGGGTAAGTATTACTAGCTTGGAAAGCATCACATGCGAACACAGAAAACTGGTAGTTCACTTAAATATGATTTCTGCTGCAGTAATAATAGTTTCAGCAACAATACATCATCTTTAGCCTAAAATACAATGAGTTACATGACTCGGACAAATTCAGGCTAGGGTCACCTCACTGTAGTTCTCTTAAGATCAACTTTGTTTTATTCCCTCTTTTTTAATCATTGATCAGATGGGACCTCTTGAAATTCAGTAGAAGTCGTATCATTGTTCCTGGTTATTATACATTCATGAGCTGATGCCTTTGCAACTTCGATGATTAATCACATGTTCCGCTCACAAGGGCAGTGTTCANCACCTCTTGAAATTCAATAGAAGTCGTATCATTGTTCCTGGTTATTATACATTCATGAGCAGATGCCTTTGCAACTTCGATGATTAATCACATGTTCCGCTCACAAGGGCAGTGTTCATGGGCATTATGGTGGACAAGTGTTGGGATCGTATGACAATGTCGACAGTCAAAAGCAAGTACTATATCCACATCATGAGGGGTATAAAAATTAACAGTGGAAAGATATGAGATCACCAGCATGACTTTGGCTTTGTTTAGTTTCTTCCTACAAAGCTATACAGCTTTAGCAAAACAGGGAAATACTCCTATTGTTTTAGAACATGACTTCATGATCTGAACTTTTAACAGAAAAGTGTCTATGCTGGCTTGATTATAATCCATAATTAGTCTTATCTAAATTAGATCATGAACAGAGTAATATCTGACTCTATTAACTTGAATGGTATGTAGATCTACCATCATTGCACGAGAAGTAATTCAGTAACATTGAATGGTCTCTGCTCTTAAAAAGCCTTTCAGTACAACCATCCTGACACACATAATGATCATCAATGTTGTGCAGGCAATGCAGAAATTAAAAGGAGGAGATGCTATTCTGACAATGGATCCAAGACTACGGAGAAATCCAGCATCAGTCCAAGCAGTGGAAAATGTCCTTAAACTTGCTCGACATTGTCTTGCACCTTCAAGACACTCAAGACCATCCATGAGGAAATGCGCCGAAGTGTTATGGAAAATTCGGAAAGATTTCAGAGAAAAAACCCTTTCTCATGCAGCTTGCGCTTCTCACCATTCTGTAAATGTTGTGGAGAGAGATGCAAGACAGGATCGCAAAACTTTGTTTGGGATTGAAGATAGTGAGAGCTATACGTTTCGTTCTGCATAGAGTGAATTGAATTGTATTAAGTTCTTGATTATTCGGTACCATAATAATCTCTGTAAATCACTTGTATCAACTCCTACAGTTATTTTTTTCCCCTTTTTCCAATTTTTCATGCTGGACCAAGCATATAATATATCATTTCTTCTATAAGGATTAGCGTCCTTTACCTTGATCCATAGCAGGACATGTAGAAGGCAGATTCTTGTGAAAATTTGGGTCATCTCAGAACATTTTCCTTCCATGCATAGCGCTAAGGACAGACTTGTGCACAATATTAGCGCAACTATAGGGGGTCTAAGAAGGGTCAGAATGGCTCCCGGTGTACTTTAACGCTCTTCTTTCTCACCGACTCCACACTATTCTTCGTTGCCCATGTGGACTGGACTCTGATTTTGTCTTTTTCTCCCTTTTTCCCTCCCTATCTCCCTCAACTTATTGCCATTTGAGGATCCAACTAGAGTCACAAAGAAATATTGATTCAATTTTAAAAAAAAAAAAAGAAAAACAAATGCCAAGTTCCTTTATTTTATTATCTATTTTACTATATTATTGTTACAAAGTTCACAATTAAATGAAAAAAAGATCAACAGTAGAAGACACTTACCTAATTCTGTTCACATTCGGAAAGAAACTACACTACCCTAAAATTACATTCCACAATTTGAGCCTGAAACTGGCTTGAACGGGCATAGAGATTTGCTCATGTAACAACAAAAAGAGAAATTTACTAGCACAATCAAGAGGTTTAAGCACAAGCACCTCCGACATTCCATAGCTTCATACATCAGCATTATATAAGGAGAACTCTATGTCACCCGAAATCAAACAACCAGGAGACGATTAGATTCATCCTATAGCCATGCCACAACACCGACAGAAAGACACCTAACTAAATACAGATTTACATATAAATGTATCAAATAGATCTCATACAATCTCTTTAACATATAGACTCCATAATACAGAACCATAACAACACAAAACACTAAGCAACGGCAAGATTTTCTTAAAACCCTTTACCTCGAAGGTGAAACTGACCTAGGAGTAACAGATCTTGAAACGGATCCAGAAGACACACTAGCACTACGACTGCTTTTATGGCTTCCAGAACAATAGCTATCCCAAGAGTCTCCATGCTTATAAGCAGAGCCACGAGAGATGCTCCTCCTTGAGCTTCTCCTTCGTCTAGGAGAAATGCTACGGGAATAGCCCCTCCTCGAGCTCCTCCTTGTCCATGGGGAAACACTGCGAGAGTAGCTTCTCCTTGATCGCCTTGGGGAGATATTCCGTGCATAACTCCTTCTGGAACGCACGGGTGAGACACTGTGTGAGAAGCTCCTCCTCGAATACCTGTGCGACCTTGGTGAAAGGCTTTGAGAAATGGAGCGATAGCGGCTTCTTCGGTAGTAATGGTATTTGGGTGAGTAGTCCCGGGAATAGTAGGGAGAATAAGACCGATCACGCCTGCTGATTGGTGACCAGTTGTATGGGGAGCGAGACCTTGTGCACGACCTTCCACGGGTATAGTAAGGAGAGTAGGATCTGCGTCGATGATAGTAAGGGGAGTATGATTGCCGCCGATGGTAGTAAGGGGAATATGATCTGCTCCTGCTCCTATAACGTTCATATGAGTAGCTAGGAGAACGACTCCCGTAATTAGGCGAGCAACTCCGAGATCGACGCCTCACTATGGTATCAAAGAAAAAGTTTAAAGACTAAAATACAAATCTTCATAACCAAATATGACCTTGGGCCCAACCACAACTAACAAACCAGATATCTTACCACTGATTGTTCTCAACCCAAGGTACCTTCCTGGAGTAGGTGTTCGACCTCTCCGCCTCTTCGCCTGCGAAAATAGAAGCAAAACATGAGATGACAAGAATATCCTGATAACATGGATGAAGTAATATGAAGCCCAATTTAATCTATAATACCCAAGGCACAAAACATTAAAGGTTATAATAAGAAACTGAAGGACAAGAAGGTTAAATAGCAACAGAAAGAGATAAATGCGGGCATACAACCCTCTGGATTAATGGTCCGATATTTGCTTGATGTGTTTGATTTGATTTGTTAGTTTGAACTTTGGTGAAGAGCGCTGCTACGCACAGCTACCCTGCTGCCAAAAAACTTCAGGCGAAAAGAAGCAAACAACTTTCAAACTCAAACATCTAATAGCAAACCATATGTGTCCTCAAGACAATTACGTGCTCAAATATCAATATAAAATGGTCATAACACCTGGCGATAGACCAAAAAAATTGCAAAACAGGTTACCTTCTCCACTGTGATAACACGACCTTCAAGCACGGAGCGATCCAAATATTTGATGCAACGATCAGCCTCTTTGAGTGTAGACATTGTCACAAAACCAAATCCACGAGAATCTCTTGTCCAAGGGTCAACCACAAGGTGTACATCTTCCACCTAAACACAGAAATTCTAGTAGTGAGAACATAGTACAAAAACATCAAACCAACTTCAGCGTTGAACTGCAAAAATGCTATGAAATTATCCAGCAAATTGATTTCAAAATTGACAAGTCCATTCTGCCCAAAGACATCTGGAACCACTTTAGGTACGTGATCAAAAGTAAACCATGTATGAAGCTTTCACACCTAAAAAATTAAGCTTCCTATATAAAGATGCATCCCAGACGCATACCTTTCCCTCAGTTGAGAAATGCTTCTCGACATCTCTCTTCGTGACCCGGGTTGATAACCCCGTCACGTACAAATTATTTCCAGGATTCTCAACACTTGGATCACGATTCCTGCCAGGCATTTAAAGACAAGAAAATCATTACTGATATGACCAATATCCAAAAAATTAATGGACGAAAAAAGGGGTACAAGATTAAAAAGAAATAGGAAAGATCCAAAAAGGGAAAGATGGATGGGGGAAGCAGTGAACCGCACCTTGAAATCGACCTGGACCTTGACATAGATCTGAAGCGTCTGTATGGGGAAGGAGAGCAGGAATACCTTGACCTTTTGGAGTAAGACATCTGCAAAAACATAAAGCATAAAAAAAAAAACCCATAGAATTACGAAGAATAGAGCCAACGTATGATCTCAAAATAAGTAACTAAAGAGAACAAAGTGCATAACAATGATGTCTCTTCAAAAAATCAACAGAACAAAATTACATGCTATAAAGATGTAATGGTTAAACCAACACACCCAATTCTAAGTTGAATTGGGCCCCGCAACCGACCCCCCAAACCCCTCAAAAAACCCAAGGGCAACAAACAAGATAGAGAGAGATAAGGTGGGGGGGAGGGGGGTTCTCATTAGTTGAACAGGTAGAATCATCATCCACTGTTGCCATATCGGTTCACCATTAAAATCACTGTCTGCCTTGTTTAGGAAAAAGAAAAAAGAAAGCTCCAAACAATAGCCGTAACAAAGCAGAAATACTACTCCATATGATTTCTCTACAACGGTAGCACCAGGATGAAAGTTAGAGAATACAAAAACAGAATCCAGGGCANCCGGCCCCTTGAAATCGACCTGGACCTTGACATAGATCTGAAGCGTCTGTATGGGGAAGGAGAGCAGGAATACCTTGACCTTTTGGAGTAAGACATCTGCAAAAACATAAAGCATAAAAAAAAAAACCCATAGAATTACGAAGAATAGAGCCAACGTATGATCTCAAAATAAGTAACTAAAGAGAATAAAGTGCATAACAATGATGTCTCTTCAAAAAATCAACAGAACAAAATTACATGCTATAAAGATGTAATGGTTAAACCAACACACCCAATTCTAAGTTGAATTGGGCCCCGCAACCGACCCCCCAAACCCCTCAAAAAACCCAAGGGCAACAAACAAGATAGAGAGAGATAAGGTGGGGGGGAGGGGGGTTCTCATTAGTTGAACAGGTAGAATCATCATCCACTGTTGCCATATCGGTTCACCATTAAAATCACTGTCTGCCTTGTTTAGGAAAAAGAAAAAAGAAAGCTCCAAACAATAGCCGTAACAAAGCAGAAATACTACTCCATATGATTTCTCTACAACGGTAGCACCAGGATGAAAGTTAGAGAATACAAAAACAGAATCCAGGGCACATCTGCCAATAAAGAATGACCATATTTGATTTCCAAGGATTTCATCCACATGCATTGTGAGGTGAATACACCTAGAAAAATGTCACTGGGAAGCTGATTAGAAAGCAACAAACGCCAATGCTAGCATAACGGGATTCAATCCAATTTAAGGTAGACAAAGAAGACTTTTTTGAAAGAATACATGGCAGGCCAAATATAAACAAGGAATTCTACTTATGTATCAAAGGAAGAAAATACGTAGAAGGAAGAAAGAAAGAAACAATTTTGAACACTGGCAAAATGAAGACACCTCAGGTATGGGAAACTCAATTTACTATTTCCTTTAATGTATTGGCACTTTGTTGGACAGCTAAGGATCCATTAATAGCTTACAATTTATCAAATAGGGTGTGGAATACGACAGCAAACAGCAACAATAAAAAATTCAGAGCACCCACCATTTTGCAGGTTTATCCTTTGGACTCAGCCAAAAAGGGTGGAGTAGCTTTTCTAAGTTCTGCTTTCTTCTTTCAAAATAGAAAACAGCTATGAAAATAATTCCAAACAGGCCCTAGTATAATGAACTGAAAACAATAACACTGGAAAAAACTCCATTCTCAAGTCAAGAAAATTGCCACATCTGAACAAATAGTTGGGCTGATAATAAAACCCTTTAGCAGCTGTCATAACTTGTAAACAACGTAGAAGCACCACAAGATAGTTGCATAGATAATGCTGCCCATTTGTGTACAAGACATGATCAGACTCCAATCTATCCCAAAAAATAAAGGCCCACAAGTGCTTCGGCAAACAAAAACGAAGTCCAGGAACCCACAAACAAGACTTAAAAACAGCCATATTATCTTATGATGCCACTCAATTTTCATCACCACTAACAATATCAGAAACTGATAACCACAGAAAACATGACATTACAAGTCTCTTCCGACCAAATTTAGACCCTCTCATTGAATTCAAATTTACAAGTTCCAGCCGTCACAGCAGGATGAGGCAATCTTGAAAAACATTGTACAATTCCACTGCCCAAAAGTACATATTGACATTAATATGCATTTCCGGACCATCAATACAATCTAAGAAAATTTGGGTTGGGGAGAGGGGGGAATACGCATAGCAAGAAATCATAGTCTCAGGAAGTTTTTAAACCATACAATACACATTAACAATATCATATCTGCAAGAAAAATGTTAACATGTAATGCAAACGGCAAACGACAAATCGGATGTACCTTGCAGTTACCCTGTTCAAAAATGTGAAAATCATCAAATTCTTGCCATCAAAGTGCATTAAAGTTTCATGATAACAAAGAAAATATAAATAAATAAATAAATCATACCCAATTAGATATCCGACTTTTTTTTTGTCGGGGAAAAAAAAGGAAAAGAAAATATAAGAAAACCCAGTAGTGTGAAATTCACTAATAATGATCTCATAAGTAACAATAAAATTATCGTATTTGTACCAGTGACGAAATCAAGAAGCACAACGATTGCCAAAACTCAAATAAATTTAAAACCTTCGATTTTCTCAGTCCTGGATAATCTTCTAAATGAGATTAAAACCGGAAAAATCACAATTTCGTAGCTCGTGTATATATAGATAGATTCCTTAAATATTGACATCAATATATTTGAAACCTAAAACCAAACTAAATGATAAACCTAAAACACAAAAGATCAACGCACAAACGCGAAAAATATCAGATCATCACAACCCAATCGGACCCCCAATTTATGAATTTTATTGACATCTCGTCGATTTCCATATCAAAAAAATTAAAATCTCATCGATTTGCAAAAAAAAAAAAAAAAAAATAGATATCTATGCTCAATATGAAAATCATACACTTACAATAGCCAATTGTCACGCACAATATCACTCCACGTATCNAAATCATAGATATCTATGCTCAATGAAAATCATACACTTACAATAGCCAATTGTCACGCACAATATCACTCCACGTATCGATCGCCGACACTCTCCGTGCGCAAGCTTTGTTCTGTTTCCTGATCGATTTAATAAGAAATAATCGATACGCACTGGCGGCGAGAGCCTTATATTAACAAATGAGAAGTTCCTAGACAGCGGACGCGAAAATTCATTCAATTACGATTGAATTCATCCTGACCCGTGGTGTTATGATGGACCCGACCCGATTCCTCTCTGTACACCAGACGATTATGTCCTTACAAAACGACGACGAATCATTTTTTGCTTATTAACGCTGCATCACAAAATTTACTGACCGTTAAAATTTGCTACCTGTCACAAAAATATTACAATCGATTTCAAATCTTTTAATACCAGATTTTTTTTAAAAAAATTATAAGAACTATCGGATCAATCTTAAAAATGTGGGATTATATATAAAAAAAAAATTTAGATAAATATTTTTGAAGTTTAGAAAGTTTGACCACCGAGTTCGTTTCAGGGATAAAACTCTCGTTCCTTTCAACAGTAATATATTTGAACTCGTTTGCAATAATAATTGCGTGACTCTTAAAAAGGAATTGAATATCCGACCACACTTTAATGAGATTATGGTAACGGGCTCAATTTTTCATGGGTTAATAACTCCGCCTTAAATGAGATTATTTAACATTGAAGAACGTGTTGATTAAATTATATGACATTGGGGAGCGTTAAGAGATTTTGATGTCTTTGGGTTGAAAAACAATGTTAGAATGAATTTTATACCATTTGATCAAGGTAGATGAAAATTAATTGCATCATAACTAATATTGTACTTTTATAAGTTTAGGATTCATCTTCCTAGATGTAATATTAGATACTAGTTATATTTCGTGCCTGAAAGCACGGAATAATAAAAAAATGGTCAACAATAAATATATTTGTATTCATATCAAAAATCAAATAACAAATATAAATAAGAGATAAATAATTTTAAGTACCGAATGTAATGGGTTTGAGCAGGGTTAGTGGTGGTGGGCAACAGTAGTGATGGTGGTAAACGGTGATAGTTCTGGTAGGTGGCGACAACCGTGGTAGTGGTGGCAGCTGTGGGTGACAACGGTGATGGTGGTGGTGGATTTTGTGTGACTATGATGGTAGTAGCAGCCGTGGGTGATGGCGATGGTGGTGGGCGGTGACGATGGTGGTGGTGGGCGACAATAGATACTTCTAGGAGACAATGTGATGAGTTGGCGAATGGCGACAACGGTAGGTGATAGTGGGTGGCTGCAATGGTGGGGCAATGACGAGTGGTGGTGGTAGGTGTGATGAGAGTGGGTGATAGTGGCTGGTAGCGACGATGGGCGACGACGAATGGTAGTGGGTTGTGGCAGTGGGTGACGGTAGACAACAATGGTAGTGGTGGGGTGTTGGCGGTGGTAGTAGGATGATGATGATAATGGTGATAAATATAAGAGTAAGATGATGATGGCAATGAGTGGTGGCAATGGACAAACAATGGTAGAAATCAGTGGTGGGTGGCGATGGGGCTGTGTGGGTGGGGTGGCGGTGGTGGGTTGGCGATGGTGATGGTATTTTGTGATGGCCGTGGGGAGGGGGGCGGTGTGGGTGGTAAGGGTGATGGTGGGATAGTGACAATGGTGATAAAGTGCGATAGTAGTGGTGATGATGGTAGGGTGTGATAGTGGTGATGATGATAGTGGAGATGGTGGTGGTGGGGCAATGGCGGGACTGTAGTGGTAGTGGTAGTGGTGATGGTGGTGGGGGGGGATGTTGGTGGGGCGGAGATGGTGGTGGCTGGGCGATGGTAGTGGTAGGGTGGTGGTGGTTGGGCAATGGTAGTGGTAGGGTGGTGGTGGTTGGGCAATGGTAGTGGTGATGGTGGTTGAGCGTTGGGGGTGGCAGCGTTGGGGGTGGCGGTGAAGCGGTTTCAAACACTATTTTTTTTAAAGTATTTATGAGAAATAATTTATAAAAATATTTTTAAAAAGTCATTCCAAACACATGTTTAGAGGCCTATTTTTTCTATTAAATTTAGGGTGCTAATATTAGCCGATAAATTAACTTAAAAGTAAAATTTAAAGCGATCTCAACTCTGAATAACAAAAGTCATTTTATTTATCTTTTGATATTTGAATTGTAAGCTATTTTATTATATAGATGTTAGTAATATCTAAATACATTTTGTAATACAAAAAATCGAACATTAATCATATAAGTTTTAAAATTTATTTTTCTTTAATCACACAAATTAAAATTAAATGAGCAAAAATAACATAAGAAAGAGATGGGGGAAAAGGGATAGAAAAGAGAAAAATAGAGGTGTATGCATGAATTGGTGTCATTGTTTAGGATTGGGAGCTTTGTAATTAAAAATGATGTTTTCGAGTGAAAAAAATAAATCTTAGGATGAATTTTATATAATTAATTAAAATAAATAAAAATTAAATTAATATTGACCTTTTTTTTACTTTGAGAATTAAATCAGCATATCTAAAGATTATCTCCCAATTCTATTGAATGAAAGTATGTGTTTTTATTATAGTAATGACTAATGAGCACATAGAAGGAAATTGAAATCTAATTTGAAAGGATGAATTAATTACTCAAATATTGATTTGATATGATAAATAGTTTTGAAAAAGTAGGATATATTCATGGGTGAAAAAGTAAAATAAATATGGCACATAAATTGTGAGAAAAAAAAATTACATGCGGTTTTATTACGAACAAAATTTTACTTTGTATTTTAAAATATTCAAAAAATTTATTGTCTACTCTCAAATATTAAATTTATCACATTATGCCTTTAATATATCAAAAGTATTACAATATGATCCTTAAGTTGCTCATTCTATTAATGTAAATGATATATTTTTAAAAAGTAATGAAGTTAATAAAAATGTCAGATTTCTACGCTTTTAAATTTTCATTATTGTTATTTAAACGATATTACAGAGAAACTATCACTTCATATTTCTAGCAAGTGTTTGAACAGGGACTTGATAAGTAGGAAAGTCAAGTCAGGGATGAAGTCGTTCTACTATTAGACTAGTTGCATTTGTAGTCTTGATTTTTCTTGTAATTTTGGGAAATTTTTATTGAGAATTTAAGATTTGAAAAAAGACATCAAACTCAAGTATAAACTGATTAAACTTGTTCAACTTCGCTGTAAATCTAAAGAAATAAATGGAAGGGCAAAATCCACTCGCTATTAGCGCCCTTAAATTCTTTCACTCGCATGATAAGCAATGCTCGCCCTATTCAAATTCAAATCTTGTTCCTTTACCAATGGAAGTCCGAACAAATACCAAGAACTTTTTCTTTTAATCTTATTCCTTTATGAATGGAAATCTAAACGACTACTAACATGGTGCATTTGGATAATCGGCAAGGATAAGAAAAGTTATGATTTTTTGTTTCCTAACCTATCCCACCCAAACCCAATAAACCACTTAACTGAATGAGTTATGTTTCCTATCCAATCCAAACCATTGTTTGGCAAGGAACAACTCAATCACTCCTTCAACTACAATCAACTCTCATCTCTAACTCTTTCTTTGCATCCTCTGTCTTTTATTTTTCTTCATCTTCTGTTACAACTTCTCCAAAACGCACATTCTCAGTGCTAGCATAAGTTGCAAAGACAACCCCAAATGGAACCGAAAATGCAAACCCAAGAACAGATGTCACCAAAAGTGGAGGAAGAACCACTGGTAAAGATGAGATCACAATAGTTGTGATCACAACCTTCTTTCCCAGCCCCAAACCTCTGAGATCCAATTCATTTTACCTTCACTTTTGGGTGATGTATATTCCCACTCATCATCCAGATCTTCCATTCTATATGTGAAGTAAACAGAAAATCCAATCAATAAAAGACCCAATCATCTTTATGGTTGCTAAAAAGTTTAAGAAATATAAAACAAAAAGATCAAGGAAACTTGAGAGAACAAACTCGCACCATCCCCATCACCCGCATCAGCCACCATCGTCGTGGGTAAACCAGAATCCCTCACTCCATCCCCACCTCCACTTCCATTACCACCTTCCACTGACACCAGTCCCACCGCCCCTCCGAAATGCTCCACAGTCTCAGCATTACCAAGTGATAGGAGAAAGAGGGGCAAATCCGTTTGTTGGCGAATAACCCATGTGGAGAGTGGGTTAATTATAACCTGTGTAAAGGGGTTATAAACTATTGTAGCAACCGGGTCAACACTTGACTCGGGTTATTATCTTATCTCAAAAAATATTTCTTAAACAAAGAATAAATAGGATCCACTACTTTATTTACCTATCCTTATAGTGTTAACCCGGATCGTTTTGTTTGTAATGAAATGGAAATAGAAGGCGAGCTCCATTATATACTATTTACATTACAACCCTACTATAACAGAACATGTCAAGTCACGAGCGCCTAATTGACATGAGAAATTTTAAATTTTTTGAGGCACAAAGTGTGAATTAACTGAGTCGGCAAGTGTTTAATTATGGTTTTACTCTCCAATTTGGAAAAGCAAGAGGCGGTTTTCTTTGCGCACCTTTTGCTCAAAAGTGAGGACGGAAATCTTAAAGATGGAGGCAAGCAAATTCGCACATATATAGCCGACGTTGAAGTGAACAGAGAAGCTCAGTCTCAGTGAATGGATCGTATCGTCGCAGCAAAGGAACTCCCTTTCCGGGTCCGGTTCACTGGACACAGTGGTCATCTCAGAGTGGAGCCTCTCCCTCCGGTCGAACGCCCCAGCCCTCTCAACTCACTCCCCGACTTCATACTGGTCAGTATTTACACCTCATAATCACTCCCATTACTCAATTGCTTTTTTCTGAATGAACTTCAATTCATGTTTGCGTGTAACTTTTTGGAATGATTCATGGATTAGGTTTACATGATCTTTTCATACTTCAACAAAGATTCAATCTTTAGAATACAATTGGTTGGTTTAGATATATATGATCTTTTATAGTCCAATAAAGATATAATATTTAAAGCAGAATTGCTGGTTCTACTCCCTGCGAGTGCGTGTGCTTGCAAAACTTTGGCGCAAAGAAAGGTGTTCTTGTTATTCTTTCTTCCTTTTTTTAGCCCCGGGCATTGGGGGCGGACAAGGTCTTTGAGTTATGCACTGATATCTTTGGAGAATTATAAATTTTTGAAGACTCAGGAGTTAGGAATAATGATCTGAAATATGCAATGTTGTCAACTTACCTACGGTAGGTAGAGGGGATCAATAGGGAATGATTGGGACTAATTGTGTGGTGGTATAATCGAGGAGATAGTCGGGGGGTGATAACAGGTGCTGCCAGTTCCAATTCGTCGTCTGGTGGGATTGAGGGGAAAAGATTTTTTTTTACATTGTTTTAGCATGTCCACATGAGTTTCAAATATCATTATATTAAGTTTCTAATTNGCATTACCAAGTGATAGGAGAAAGAGGGGCAAATTCGTTTGTTGGCGAATAACCCATGTGGAGAGTGGGTTAATTATAACCTGTGTAAAGGGGTTATAAACTATTGTAGCAATCGGGTCAACACTTGACTCGGGTTATTATCTTATCTCAAAAAATGTTTCTTAAACAAAGAATAAATAGGATCCACTACTTTATTTACCTATCCTTATAGTGTTAACCCGGATCGTTTTGTTTGTAATGAAATGGAAATAGAAGGCGAGCTCCATTATATACTATTTACATTACAACCCTACTATAACAGAACATGTCAAGTCACGAGCGCCTAATTGACATGAGAAATTTTAAATTTTTTGAGGCACAAAGTGTGAATTAACTGAGTCGGCAAGTGTTTAATTATGGTTTTACTCTCCAATTTGGAAAAGCAAGAGGCGGTTTTCTTTGCGCACCTTTTGCTCAAAAGTGAGGACGGAAATCTTAAAGATGGAGGCAAGCAAATTCGCACATATATAGCCGACGTTGAAGTGAACAGAGAAGCTCAGTCTCAGTGAATGGATCGTATCGTCGCAGCAAAGGAACTCCCTTTCCGGGTCCGGTTCACTGGACACAGTGGTCATCTCAGAGTGGAGCCTCTCCCTCCGGTCGAACGCCCCAGCCCTCTCAACTCACTCCCCGACTTCATACTGGTCAGTATTTACACCTCATAATCACTCCCATTACTCAATTGCTTTTTTCTGAATGAACTTCAATTCATGTTTGCGTGTAACTTTTTGGAATGATTCATGGATTAGGTTTACATGATCTTTTCATACTTCAACAAAGATTCAATCTTTAGAATACAATTGGTTGGTTTAGATATATATGATCTTTTATAGTCCAATAAAGATATAATATTTAAAGCAGAATTGCTGGTTCTACTCCCTGCGAGTGCGTGTGCTTGCAAAACTTTGGCGCAAAGAAAGGTGTTCTTGTTATTCTTTCTTCCTTTTTTTAGCCCCGGGCATTGGGGGCGGACAAGGTCTTTGAGTTATGCACTGATATCTTTGGAGAATTATAAATTTTTGAAGACTCAGGAGTTAGGAATAATGATCTGAAATATGCAATGTTGTCAACTTACCTACGGTAGGTAGAGGGGATCAATAGGGAATGATTGGGACTAATTGTGTGGTGGTATAATCGAGGAGATAGTCGGGGGGTGATAACAGGTGCTGCCAGTTCCAATTCGTCGTCTGGTGGGATTGAGGGGAAAAGATTTTTTTTTACATTGTTTTAGCATGTCCACATGAGTTTCAAATATCATTATATTAAGTTTCTAATTATGTCTACATATTTTTCGTAATACTTGAAAGATATTCTCTCTAGGATTTTGTGATTTTGGTGGAACCCGTGTGGATTTGTCTGGGTCCCATGAATGTACTTGTAACTAAGCAGTCGCCGCATGGGGTGAAGGATGTACCCACATTTTTCTGCCAGTGTACGCTTTATCCCAGAGAGAGAGAAGAAGGGACAGGAGATACTGCAAGAATATTGAGAAGAGGGAGATAAGATGCTGTAAGAATATGGCGAGGACAAAATTTAAGGGAGACATTTGAAGGCGCATGGTAAAAAAATGAGAACAGAAATTGAGAGATTGAAGAGGTTCACTCTCATAGTAACAAACTTTGACTATTTTTCCTTTTCTGAAATCCCAATAAACTCCCGAAATGGAACGGAATATCAAAATAACTATAACTAAAACATGTAGAAGTAAAAGATTTCAGCAGTCCTCAATGGCTATGTACTGGTATTGCTGACGCTTCACTGTTGCATTTATATACAAAGTAGTTTTAGGTTTGCATACCCCCATAAGGTGTAGTTTTATGGTTTTGGGAATCCAGTTTAGTATATGTAAAGCTTTACCATGTGGGGTAATATCATTTAATTTTAAACTGTTTTGCCCTGTTTTGGGGGTTGAGACTTCAAATAATACACAAAATCGCCTACCCCAAAAAATGGTGGTCAGTAATTTTTCAAATGTTCATCTTTAAGAGAAAATTGTTGGATGATGGACCCAAGGTTCATTGTGAAAATAGGTCCCTATCCATTGGTCTAAAACAACTTTTTTTCTGATTTGGGGTTGAAACTAATATTATTTTTCCAATTTCTTATGCTATCTCAAATTCCGCCATGTAATGCAAAATTGCTTTTCTTTTCTGTGATGAAAATATCAAAATCAATATAGTGGCCTTTTGGGGAATCAAGGTTTTTCTAATCATATTTTGGGGAAGTTAACCATTTGTTTGGACACACCTCGTAATATGTATGCTACATTTTAATAGAAAGAGCCCTTCTTTTGTACCACGTCAACGTTCTTCTTAATATCCTCTTTTTGCATGACATGTTTGTTTATGGTAAAACTTATTTGATCTTGTCTCAGCCACCTGCATTTCCTAGTGAAACACCCGAATCAATAAAAGATTTTGTAAAGGAAAAATACCTCCTGCCAAGATTGGACCCTGATGAGTTTTCCCCAGAAAAAGCTGGTAGGCAGTGGGAATTCGACTGGTTTGACAGAGCAGAATTTCGCCTAGAGCCATCATTGCCCCGCTCAGTTGTCGTTCCTGCATGGGAATTACCTTTCAGACGTCCAAAGAGGGAGCTTGAAAAATGGGAACCTAGCTCGGTGCAGGTTTGAAATTTTGCTTATACATTGTGCTTGTTCTTGAACAAAGATTTTCATAATAGCTTAACATAGAAAACAAGTTCAGACGAATTGTTTGAGTAAAAGCGACATAGTTCTTCTGGGTTTGTTATTGTATAACTTATTATTAACCCAGTTGTTGACTCCTAATTTATGCCTTTGTCATGGAGTTGACTTATTATGGTGTCCTAGGTGGATGTATCAGAACTTACTGCAGGAGCCGAGGATTTTGGTGCTTTGCCACTTATTTCCGGACCTGCAACGGATTTTGTAAAAGGAAGCATCAACAACCATCCTTTTCGTCCAGGTGGTTTGGATGATTCTGAGTCTTTAGGGAGGATGCTTCCAGATGGTGCTTCTAATGGTGAATGGGTATGGGAAGTGCTTAATGGTGGTCCAGCCCAGGCCATTCCTCCAAGCTTTAAAGAAGGTCTGGATCTTGGTGATCTTGAGGTAATTTACTTGATTTGTCTTTATGTTGTTGAAAAGCTCTCAACAAAACACGAAACTTTTTTTTTTTTCAGTTCTATATATTTTCTCGACTTGTTTTGTGCATGTCAATTTTAGAAGGCACATCCTTTCTCTTGGAATGTTTATGAAGATCAAAGTGCAACTGAGAACACATCAGAAGCAAAGTTGGTCAGTTGTTGTTTTGCTGTGATTATTTACAAGTCTTCATTCTCATGTTTACATTTTTAGCCTAGACATTAGGTTGTGGTAGTTGCATGGAGCACGTGGTCGAGCATGCATGTGCTTGTGCTTGTATAACTTCTTGTTCTTTTTGTAGGAAATCTAACAGTTGCCTCACATCTCCTATGCTGTATTTTCTGTGTTGCATTTTGCAGAATGANTCATTCTCATGTTTACATTTTTAGCCTAGACATTAGGTTGTGGTAGTTGCATGGAGCACGTGGTTGAGCATGCATGTGCTTGTGCTTGTATAACTTCTTGTTCTTTTTGTAGGAAATCTAACAGTTGCCTCACATCTCCTATGCTGTATTTTCTGTGTTGCATTTTGCAGAATGAGTTTTCTGTGCAGTTTGATGACTTATTTAAGAAAGCTTGGGAAGAGGATGTCACTGAATTTCCAGGAGACGGTCTGTATGATATATACTTTGGTATTCTGGTTTTGTGTGCTCCTGTGTTTTAAAGTTATGATGTCATGGGCAAAGAGCTCTAAATATGAGCTGAATTGGCATCACCTTGGTCTGCTTTAGCTCATGAAATCAGGCAAGACATGGTCTAGCTTCAGGAAAATTTGTCTATTGGTTGTCATGGACTTGCTCAATTCAGCAATTTTCATCTTACATTTGCATCAAGTTTGTTTTTCAGTAGGATGGTGTTAGGCTTTCATTGATAGATTGAAAAGGCAAATCAATAGGCAAATCAATCAACATGAAATTGTTTGTTTTGGTTTGGATAGGTGGCGTGCAGTAAGTGGAAAGAAGTCTGAGATCTCCAATTTAAACTAGATATCAATCAAAATATACCTTGATGATCATAGAATCATAGCCTATTTTCTAAGCCTTGCAGCAGAGAAGTGATTTTGGAATCAGTTTTTGTTTGGAGCAATGTAGAGTTTCTGAGAAATTCTGTTATTAGCATTTTGATTGCGGTATAGAGGAGCATATCCTACTGTTGTGGATTCTTCTACTGGTATAAGAAATGGGTTGGAATCACATTTTGGTTTGTCCTCTCTTGCATCCCGTGGAGGGCTTTTCATCCCATCAAAAAGACGGACAAAAGAAGTTTGACCTAATAATACGGATGAGATTGTGGAACACACCCATTTCGTGTCACAGACCTGTAGGTAATTTTGGAGAGTCGGTGCAGATGTAGACCTTGCAAGAATTTGCGACAAATCAACTCTCAGGAGTGAGGATTTATTTACTCTCATGTAGAAAAAGATTCCTTCATTTTTATATTCAGAACATTTGTTTACCTTTAGTTTGCAACTCTGAATTAGTTTTCTGCTCCTCATTCTTGCTGGATTCACTGCCAAAACATCAGAAAAGGGGCACTGAACTTGAATGAAAGTCCACTGAAAATTGATTTTCTGAGTCTGTTGCCTGTTTTTTTTTTCTTTTTTTTTTTTTTCCCTGTTATTGTTTTGGAGATAGTTATAATGGGTTTGTTTGTGAAGGTCATATTCTTGGGTCAGAAGTTGAAGTGAATGACATGGAGTCTCTTCAATTGGAAGCAGAAGTGAATATGTTGGATGTGGTCAGTGGTGTTGTTGACACCGAATCTTCTGTATTGGATGAGATTTTGTCAGTTGAATCAGGAGGGTCAACTGCAAGATTGGATGGAGGTAGTGGACAGCAGCAGAAAGAGGTAATCATCCGCCATGTCGCAGTTTACATAAACTTTCATTGTATTTGAACTCTGGCTTGTTCGTAGTGTGTTTCTCCCAATTTTTTTGCTCAATGAGTGCTCTTACTTGTAGGCCTGGGCTATTACTGGAGGTAGTGAAGGGATTGCTGAGCGCTTTCATGAACTTGTTCCTGAAATGGCACTTGATTTTCCTTTTGAACTTGATTCATTCCAAAAGGAGGTATTCATATTGCATATTCTATGTTGTTTTCTATGTGCATAGTAGATTATCTATGACTAAGGCTGATAATTTTTAGACTGGAGTTTAAAAGGATAATTTTGTGCCAGAAATCTAGCACATGTCGTGACTCGTGGGTGTGCTTAACACAATAACACAAATAAATTCTTTCTGAAAATTTACACTAATGTCATTACATAGAGAGAGAATGGTATGGATTATATAAAGGGAAGAGACTTGATTGCTCCCTTATAATATCAGCTGTTTGATTGTCTTCTTTGGTTTGTTATTGATATATGAAGCGATAGGGATAATTTAGCCATTTTTATATAAGAGATCTAACTGAAGACGGAAGCCAGGCTGGCTTATGTGACAATATGATGTATCTGTTTTGCATATGGGTATAGGAGAACAGTTTTTTTTTTCTGTTGCTGTCTTTTTGCTAAAATTTATTATTTCCTTGCCAACATCGTGTACAAAATGAATGGTTTTACCAAGGAATTAAAACAAATCCCATTGTTATTTACTAGATTTTATCTTGTGTATGTAGTTTCATGACAGTTGCAATTGTTGGGACTCTTCTTTTGGCTGTGAGCAGAAAACACAACTCAATAAAACCTTGTCTTATTATATGGCGTTAACAAAAGTTTGTTTCAGTCTTTCTGCTTTGTTGAGGATTAGAAGTTAATGAAGCATTCATTATTTTTGCCTTTCCTTAGTATCCATGAGAGTTTTTGTTATTCAATTTCCCTCGATACGAACCTCCTATTAGTTTTTACTTGTTTGGTTATAGTCTTTGTTCCACATTGCTAAACTATTTTAGTTGGTTTTCTTCCATTTTATCTGCTATATTCACCATCTTAGGAATGTTTCCAGCTATAATTTTATTGTTTTCTTGCCTTAGAACATCTCAATCTTATCATTCGAATTTATGCTGAACTTGTTTTATGGAAATGTCATGTTTAAGCGATCCAACTTTATCTCATAGACCACTGTTTGGATATTTAAAGCTCCTTTTAGCTTTACTTATATCTATGAAGAGAAAGATTCAGGCTTGCTCTTTGTTTGGATATTTAAGAGGCAAAAGAAAGGTATTAAAATGATACCACTATTTAGGCAGAAAGAAAATAAAGGATAGGCTGGAAGAAACCATCGGGCCTCCTTTTGTTTGGATAATTATAAAGGTAAAAGAAAGAGAAAGGCAGTGAAAAATAAATGGGAATGTGAGTATAACAAGTAAAACAGGGAATCACTGCCTGAGAAAAGAGGGAGCAGAGTTGTATTTTTAGACTTCAATTTCCTTTCTCCCTATCACATTCTTGTTTTAGGAGGAATCTAAAGTGGCCTCGAGGGATGGCACTGTTCCTTTCTCCTTTCTGTTCATTCCTTTCTCCTTTCCGTTCATTTCTTTCTCTTCAATCCAAGCAAGGGTATAAGAGTATCTCCAATAGTACTCTCTATTTTATTTTAGAGAGCATCTTTTGTGAAATAGAGAGCATCTTTGCTAAAAAATTGAGATAGAGAGTGAAGAATTTTAGACAACTCCAATGGGCTCTCTATTCTAATGGGAACATTTAATGAAGAATGTATATATGTCATTTTTTAATTCATTAAAAATAGAATAGAGTGAGTTGAACTTGGAGAGTCAAATTAGGCTCTCAATTTTTGCTTGTCTAAATAGAGATCCTATTAGAACTTGATTTTTTATGGTTCACTCTCTAAAGTAGAGAGTTGAGTATCAATAGATAGCCTATTAGAGATGCTCTAACACTATCACTTCCCTCTTTGTAATATTTCTTTTTATTTGATAAGTGCTAGCACCATTGTCTTAATTTCAACTTGAACCTTGCAAATTTTGTCCTTAGGATGGATTTGAGATATCACTCAAGGTGGCATCTTTAAGAAATTTATGGGGAGAAAAAAGGAGATGCACTCAAACTAATATCTGGAGGAAATTCTTGTCAACTTCATCAAGATGACATTGTGATGCGTGCGTGGGTAAAAATTTGCCCAATCAAATATGCTGAGCTTGTGCCTGTAAGACCAATAACTGTAAAAAGGGATGCCGGATTCCTCACTTGGTAGATCATGGATGTTTGTTGGTTCGTGACCTTTAAAACAGAGAAGTGCATTAGAAGTCCCTACCGGTGGTGGCCAGTGGGGGCTCTGTCAGTATTGGACCAAGTATAGGAACCTAGAGTATGTGAAGAGCAGAGTGCTTTTGCTTGAAACCTGAGGTTTTTCCCCTTTTATAGAGAATTTGTGACGTATCTTAGGAGCAAAGCTGGGTCCTGTGGTGTGGAAGTAGCAGCAATTCACTGGCAGCTGTAATAACCGCTGTCTTATAATTCGGTTCCTTGGTTACTCCAATTATCTGTATCTACTTTTGAATTCTTTTCGATTCTAAAACCAACCACTCTATGTCTCCAGGGTCCTTATTCTGTGCTTTATCTATTTATTAAACCTGATGTGAAGACTTTTATAGATTATTCCCTTCTCTACACTTTTCCATTGGTTTTCGTCAAATAAATAGCTCCATTGTTTGCTTCCTTGTATTCTTTATTTGACGAGGTCCTGGAGTACTTCTTTAACATTCATTCAAACATTTCTTTTATTTGTCGTGGTATCATGAAAATAATATTGTTATCTAAGACATGCCATTGGCAGCTACGTATTATCTTGACCAGGCTATTTTTGAAACTCGCATATGCAGCTGACAGCTCTCCCTGTGATAACTACAGGCTATCTATTATCTGGAAAAGGGGGACTCTGTTTTTGTGGCGGCTCATACATCAGCTGGAAAGACAGTTGTTGCTGAGTATGCATTTGCTCTGGCCTCAAAAGTATGAATTGCAGTCTATACTTCAAACTGTTTGGTCATGTCCTTGCCGTTCACATTTCAGACAGTGATTCTAGTTTATTACATGTTATTGGACTCGTGTATTTTCCACTTACATGATCTTCTGATAAAAAGCTCTCTCTTCATGCACATTTGTATTTTGAAACTTGTCTTAGATTTTAAAAATATTACCTTGATCGTCTCATACGTAGTGTTTATGACTGAAGGTTATGAAATGATATTTGTGCTATGCAGCACTGTACGAGAGCTGTGTATACTGCTCCTATTAAAACCATCAGCAACCAAAAGTACAGGGACTTCTGTGGGAAATTTGATGTCGGGCTTCTCACTGGGGATGTTAGCTTGAGGCCAGAGGCATCTTGCCTCATCATGACCACTGAGATACTAAGATCAATGCTCTATAGGGGTGCTGATATCATCCGTGACATTGAATGGGTAAAGTGGTTTGTTTTGTGTGGTATTTTAATCTCAGTTTCCATTTTTCCCCTGCATTGTATGTATCTTTCATTTCCTTTCCAGTCTCACCTCTTGTTGTGATTCTGATGTTTTTGGTTATTTGGTTTCTGTCTGTATGGGAAGATAGGTTATATTTGATGAAGNAGTCTCACCTCTTGTTGTGATTCTGATATGTTTTTGGTTATTTGGTTTCTGTCTGTATGGGAAGATAGGTTATATTTGATGAAGTGCATTATGTGAATGATGTGGAAAGAGGTGTTGTTTGGGAAGAAGTTATTATCATGCTTCCGAGACATATCAATTTTGTCCTCCTCTCAGCCACGGTACTGTTTCTAGATATATATTTCAATTTCACGCATTTGGGATTTGTTGCTGCAAATGACACCAATAAATTCTGAAAATTTCAGAATTTATCATAACATCTGTTTTAGGTTTATTGTGGTAAAGAAGTGGTTGCTTGGTCCCTGGAATTTTCTTANGTTGCTGCAAATGACACCAATAAATTCTGAAAATTTCAGAATTTATCATAACTTCTGTTTTAGGTTTATTGTGGTAAAGAAGTGGTTGCTTGGTCCCTGGAATTTTCTTACTGCATTCCACCGGTCCATCTTGCATGATTGTAAATGTTTAAGTGCTACATAAGCTATTTAGAGAGCTTTGCTTTGTTTCCTTGGCATATAAGCTAGATGTTAGTTTGGGCTTTGGAGTAGCCTCCATTTCCATGCCATTGGAAATCTATAGCTGGAAGTACTGGGGTGCAAAAACAATATTTTTATGTGCTTCCAAGTTGATATGATGTGGGAGGCACATTTATTGCTTCTAGGGTATTTGTTATGTATTACTGTTCAATGTAGGTGGATGCTATTTGCCCTGAATTTTTTTTTTTGCTGTTTGTTCTTTCATTTTCCCTTCTTTTGGCTATTTTGGGGGCTAGGTAGGTGGGAAGCTTTTAATTTGGAGTTTATTGTTTGCCATGATAACATTCTTTTTCGGATGAATGCTTTAATAGCATAAGGGTGTTCAGAGATCTATATATATATTGGAGGATAAATTAATGTTATTGGCCCCTCCCCTTTTCTTTCTACTCCTGATTTGACTGATACTTCAAGCACTGTGCATATTTATATTATTTCGCAGGTACCAAACACAATGGAATTTGCTGATTGGATTGGTCGGACAAAGCAAAGGCAAATTCGCGTAACTGGGTGAGTAGCACATTGTAGTAATCAGAGTTCAAAATTTTTTATTTGCTATCTTACTTGTTTTAAGCATTCATCATTTTATCCTCCTTCATACGTAAAACAAAGAAAGCTACGTTGTATTTTCCCTTTTTGGTCAATTTCGTTTAACTACTTTCCTGCTATCTGTATGCTTCTCTTAAACAGGACGACCAAAAGACCAGTCCCCTTGGAGCACTGCCTTTTTTTTTCTGGAGAACTTTACAAAATCTGTGAAAGCGAAAAGATGGTGCCTCAGGGACTGAAAGCTGCCAGAGATGCGCACAAGAAGAAAACCATGAATATGGTTGGTGTACCTGGAACATATCCTGCATCTTCATCTCACCGTGAGGTGGCTCAAGCTCAAAAGCGTGAAAATTCTGGTCGGGGCAAACAGAACAAGCATACTGGGGCACAAAACTTAGGGAACTTTTCTGGTGCTGGTTGGGGGAACCAAAAGTATGGTATTGGCCAGAACAACGGGGGGCCAAGGAGATCAGAAGCTTCTTTGTGGTTGTTGCTGATTAATAAGCTTTCAAACAAGTCACTGTTGCCTGTATGTATGAATATTGCATTTAAAACTATGTTCCTGTCTTATGATTTCTTCATCTAATATGTGAGAAGCATAACGTACCACACAATTACAGCATTGTGAATATTGGTTTGCATCTTACATGTTTGGATGAGCCCACCCAATAACAGAGGGTTTCATTTACCTTAACATTATCTTTTTTTTCCCTTTCATTTTTGTTGTTTGTTTTGCTCCTCTGCTCCAGGGTGGTTTTTTTTTTTTTGTTGGGGGGGGGNAGGGACTGAAAGCTGCCAGAGATGCGCACAAGAAGAAAACCATGAATATGGTTGGTGTACCTGGAACATATCCTGCATCTTCATCTCACCGTGAGGTGGCTCAAGCTCAAAAGCGTGAAAATTCTGGTCGGGGCAAACAGAACAAGCATACTGGGGCACAAAACTTAGGGAACTTTTCTGGTGCTGGTTGGGGGAACCAAAAGTATGGTATTGGCCAGAACAACGGGGGGCCAAGGAGATCAGAAGCTTCTTTGTGGTTGTTGCTGATTAATAAGCTTTCAAACAAGTCACTGTTGCCTGTATGTATGAATATTGCATTTAAAACTATGTTCCTGTCTTATGATTTCTTCATCTAATATGTGAGAAGCATAACGTACCACACAATTACAGCATTGTGAATATTGGTTTGCATCTTACATGTTTGGATGAGCCCACCCAATAACAGAGGGTTTCATTTACCTTAACATTATCTTTTTTTTCCCTTTCATTTTTGTTGTTTGTTTTGCTCCTCTGCTCCAGGGTGTTTTTTTTTTTTTTTTGGGGGGGTGTTGGGGTTTGGTTGTTAAGGCTCTCTGCTTGTATATGATATAATCGTAGCAGGAAATCTGGCGTTTAACCATTGGCATGAACATTAATTTCTTTTGATAATATTTGTCTCTTCATGCTTTTTTTACTTCACCAAGTGATCAAAGTTCAACTTGGGAGCTTCTTATTACCCTGTTATAATGTAAGTATTTTTGCCTCGACTTGTGAGTTTAGGTGGTTATATTTTGTTTCTCAAAGAATCGCTGTGACAAATCAGCTGATAATCTTACTGGGACTGACCTGACAAGTAGCTCTGAAAAAAGTGAAATCCGGGTCTTCTGTGACAAAGCATTTTCACGGCTCAAGGGTTCTGACCGGAACCTACCACAGGTGTGTTTCATATATTCTCATTGATTTCATTTGGATTTGGTCATCATAGTACCATAGATATAAGATTTACAGGTTGTCAGAGTTCAAGGCCTTCTACGTAGAGGGATAGGTGTGCATCATGCCGGACTGCTTCCAATTGTCAAGGAAGTTGTTGAAATGCTTTTCTGCCGTGGTGTGATTAAGGTACGGTTGTTTCCATCTCGAATATTCAATTTTCCATGATATTTATTTTGGTGTATTAGAATGTTAGGGCATCCAACCCTAAAACAACTGACAGTGGGTGGAGTAGCCCTTTCACGGTTTAGTAATTCAATGTGGGATGCAAGCTTTCTTTACACCCTTCCTCATCCTCATTTGGGGGCCGGGCTCGCTTGTGGGGCTAACAAACAAACATGCATACTTGGAATTTCAAATGGGTAAGAGATTTGACCCAATGACCACCAAGGCCCAACTTTGATATCATGTTAGAGGATCCAACCCAAAACTAATTGGCAATGGGTGGAGTAGCTCTTTTGTTATATAAACCAACATTGCGTGGTCCTAAACTCCTAGTACTTAAATGTGTAAAGACTCAAATTCTTGTTGGAAGGACAAATTGCTGTCCAAATTACTGCTAAATATAGCTGCAGGTTAATATTCTCTTCATTGCTTAGCAGTTGAAGTTTCATGAATGTTTGCCTGGATTTTGGTTGAGTTATGAGGTCATTTTGGGGAGTTTCATTTGTTGATTACTTGTTTTTCTTTCTGTAGGTTCTATTTTCAACAGAGACATTTGCAATGGGAGTTAATGCCCCTGCTAGGACGGTGAGTCTTTGTTGATAATCTTTCTGTTATTGGAAGTATGCTGTTTTAAATGTTAATATTCCCAATCAATAACTGTTTATTTCCCATTGCATGAAGTTCTGGGTCTCTGGCCTTGTGTCGGTTCCTTTTTCTCCGTCCCAATCAGTTGATCAACAATGTTATGAGAGAAAAGTCCTGTCATAGGACCAGTGTTTGGCACTTGGTCAGGCTAAGCAGTTGGTTCCTAGTATTCCAGTATAAGGGTCCTACTATTTTACTGGAAATTCTGTGATCACTTACATTGGTTGATATGAAGAAAATGTCTATGCACATTGGTCAAGCATTGTAGGAGTTGTATTTTACTATTTTACATGCTCATGTTTTAGTTTTTTAAAATTTGTAACCCAATTGCTAAATTGGTTCATAGCAATTAATGCAAGCATGAATTGTGCTATTATTCCAGCTTAACTGCCATTGATAAAAGGCTGTCTGGAGGCATGTATTTTTCTTCCTTCTGTTGTTGAAAAATTTGCAAGAGTGAATTTCTTCTTCTTTACTCAGTTGTATGGAATGCCATTTCTTCAAATAAGACCACCTACCAAGCAATCATGGCCACCCATCTTTGACTACTAGCCCTATTCTTTCTTTCCCATCACCACTTCTAACTTCTGAAGAGGACTGCCTACATTCATACATTAAAAATAGCTAGAAGTCTTGAACCAGAGGCAAAACACTTGTTCACAACCACCACCAGCCACCAGGCGATGTGTTATGTTGTGTCAAATTCCATAAAAACATAAACCAAGATTTCCAAGTACAGGTTGTAGCACCCAAAATAAAAACTATGCCATGTTTTTTCCCACCCAAAACTTATTTATGAATCCTGTGATGATGTGATCAAATGACCAATTTCGTTTTCTGTGCTTTTCAATCCACAGACTCCTTTCCAATTCGCCAGCCTTCCAAATCCAAGAGAGAGAGAGACACACACAGGCACACAATACAAAAGTCGATAGAAACAATGTGATAGATATAGAGTACAGGAAATTGTAGAATGAAATCAATCTTGTTTCTTAACTGCACTATGTATAATCTCCATAATAACTTTATGATATGCTTTTTTTTTTCTCTTTATTTTCCTTAAACTCTTTCATGTCACCTAAATAAAAGAGAAGCTTCCATTTTTTTTCTCTTGCTGGCCTAGAATGTTTTGGTCTTTCCATAATGTCATCTGGTAGCCATCCCCTCCCCCCAACCCCAACCCTACCCCAACCCTAACAACAACCACCCAAAAAAATAAATAATGCCGTGTGATTGTGACAACACTTTGTAGTTGTAGCTGCAGATATTTATATTGTTCCCAGATTAGGTCCCAATTTTTTTAAAACACATGTCTGCTTAGTCTATAAACCTTGTTAACCATATTGCTTGGTCTTACTATGTTGTCAGAACTTTTGCCAGCCTTTATATGAATTTTTTTCTTCCACAGTTTCTTTACATCAGCTAAAGATCCTAAGATTTTTTAAACTCTAGTCCCCCCCCCCAACCAAAAACAAAAAAAAAAAAGGAAAGAAAAGAAAAATTCATACATGAATTAACTTTTTGACAATTTTATTTTTCTTGTTGGTATGCTACAATAAGTTGCAAAATGTTTCACTTGAATGTCTCACTTTTTCCTTGTCATTACTGTGCATTCCGGTAGGTCGTTTTTGATACTTTGAGGAAGTTTGATGGCAAGGAATTCAGACAGCTGCTTCCTGGTGAATACACCCAGATGTCCGGTCGTGCAGGTAGGAGAGGACTTGATAAAATTGGTACAGTTGTTGTGATGTGTCGTGATGAAATCCCGGAAGAAAAGGATTTGAAGCATGTCATTGTTGGTAGTGCAACTAGGCTTGAATCTCAATTTCGGTTAACCTATATCATGATCCTGCATCTCCTCCGTGTGGAAGAATTGAAGGTACTATTCCATGAAATAATTTTGGGCTCATTGATAATATAATCTGTAGCATGCTACATGATGCAATAATATACAGTATATCTAGATCTTGGAGTTGGCTACTCTTGCCAATTTGGTGTTACATATTTTTGGAATATGTATCAAGCCATTATCATCTAGCCTATCTGGCTGTGGCTTCTCTGGGCCAACCATCTAATCTCACGGGGTTCACAGGATCATATTCCAATTTAAGATTTTTCTGTAAGATTTATCAGCCTTATCAACTCCATTTGTTCCCTTTTTAATTAGTGAAAGTGCATTGAATTTTCCATTATTGAGGACAAATGATGACTTCAAAGGTTAGATATCTCACCAATTTATTCTATTCCTTAAAAGGAATAAATTTAGAATCGTTGTCTTGAAACTCCTAGACTCCTCCAAATAGGATGAATGTCTAAAAAAATAATCTGATAATGTTGATATTGTTTAAAATGCCATATGGATGCTAGATTTCTATTACTGCTCTCAGACATAAAAGAAAGCAGGTAGTTTCCTGCATTAAATATCCCTTCATGTAGCCAGTTAACAAAATCTCACAACATGTAGTGCTACAGTTGGCAGTTCAAAGAACAGCTTCCTTCTTTAGGTCAATAGTTTTCTGAGATTTGTTTGAGACAACTTTCAGATATACTGTTTGGGTTGCTAATTGATGAGATTAGGTTTATTACAGTTGAGGTGCCAACCAAGTTACTCTTTTTTGTTTGATGAGAAAAAAAATCTAATATCATATTACAGATTGACGGTGGACAAGAAATTCAACCAAAAGACTATACGGTGAACCATAAATTACTTGAGACGCAAAGCTTTCCACCCCGCCAACCAAGTTTCTTTTTTGGGAAAAGAATTTTATTGATGAGCCAACTAATTTGATCTTTGGGAAAAATGAAAATGCTTACTACTTAGCTCATAGATCAGTTGAGCCTGCCATGATTGATACTTAATTTGTTGATCATTTCATTTATCTGTTCTTTTTGGATGGCAATGTCAAAGTATTAGTCGAAATTCTAACGATGCGTTTGGTAGGTGGTAATGAAGCATGGGAATGGAATGACCATTAATTAGTAATGTTCATTCTATTGTTTGGTATTGTAGTAATGAAAGTTCATTCCCATTTTCATTACTATGGAATGCCTAATCCCATAAGTACAAGCTTTGTCATTCCTTAATATTTGGTGGTATTTTTCATTCTCAATCACCATCACTTGTCGCCATCACCACCACCCCACCTCCACTCGGGGTCGGGTCTTGAGTCTATTTTGAGTTCGGGATTCAAGGTCAGATCGGGATCGGGTCCAGGCATTTTCCAAATATTTGAGTGAATTGAAAATTCTATTCCAGCACTTAATCTTAGTTGTTGCCAAACATTAGAATGATAATGGACATTCTATTCCATTCCCATGAAAAGCATTACCAACATAGCAAACGCAATGTACAGGTAATATAGTTGTGGGGCAGCAAGGTCAAAAGGGCATAGTGCATCAAGAAACTAAACAGAAAGGAAATGTTGTGACATCTCCTTAGATGGTTGATTAAAAATGGGCATGGTACAACTTAGGATTTTAGCTCTTGAATGAGTACTCTTTCGATATATATCTTTCTTCATCACACCATGTACCTATGTTGGTTCAGCAAATATAAGGGCTACATTCTGTGCAATACACATTTGACCTTGAGTTTTGCTCAATAACTTTTACTAAACTTATTAANTTCTTTCTATATATATCTTTCTTCATCACACCATGTACCTATGTTGGTTCAGCAAATATAAGGGCTACATTGTGTGCAATACACATTTGACCTTGAGTTTTGCTCAATAACTTTTACTAAACTTATTAAGTTCATTGTGCCCCTGTTGATTGGGGAACATCATTGCAGGTGGAGGACATGCTGAAAAGAAGTTTTGCTGAATTTCATTCTCAAAAGAAACTTCCAGAGCAACAACAACTTCTAATGCGAAAACTTGCTCAACCAACAAAAACTATTGAGTGAGTATGCTAAAAGCAAGATCATAATCTCACTTGTCTGTTAAATGAATTCATGTTTCTTTATAATATGCTAAATTTTTTCCCATTCCATCCACATAACATCTTTACATGTAGGATGCGAATTTTATAGGGTAAAATTATTGACAGCCCGTGGTAGATTGATGTAATTGCAGGGGCTCCCCCCTTGGGTTTTCTGGAATACCATTGCACCACTTTTCAGTGTTTCTCAGATAATAGATGTGAGGGAAATGGTCATTTTGCTATTATACCCTGCTCATTCTGCCATATTTCAGCCATTTCACTGCTCATTTTAGCTCAATACACACACACACAGGCACCCACCCACCCACTCACTCATAGATAACAAGTACCTAGTCCACCTCTACCAATCAATCCTACTTCAACCACATCACTATCCACGACCATCATTCAATCACCCACACTTCTTTCTCTCTTGGTGTCTCCCCCTTTCTGTCTTTCTTACATGCAGCACACATAGATGCCTCTCTATCATAGCACCATGAGCCACCAATTGCAACCATGCAGATTTGGTCTTGAAGCACCACCATAATGAGTATTACCACGGTTTATAGTCTGGTTGTGCCATTTCATGGCATGATTTGAAGCCAAATAAAGTCCCTATCAGTTTGATGGATAGTGAGGGTGATTATCAGAATCAAAACTCAAAATTTGCTATTTATGTGTTTTGTGGTGATGGTTAGGAGTTTGAGGTAGAGGGGACATGATGGGATGGAGGTAGTATGTGTGTGGTTACAGCTGAGCACGTGAGAGGATAGGAGAAAGAAAAACGAGTCATTTAGATATAGGTGTTACTTTGTTCCAAGGAAAAATAATGGGTGTAGTAATAAATTACCTTGGGTTAATTTGAGGGTAAAATGGACATTATTGAATATTCGATTATTTAATCATTTCTGAAGCCATCAGTAAAGCCCCTAACTTAGGGGTACTTTGTGAAATGGATATATAAACTACTAGGAGTGTACTGATATATCAGAAAATCCATAGGGTGCTCTGTTATTATATCAATCTACAGGCTGTGTGAATGATAGTTGCTCATTGTGGTTGTATATTATGGTATGACACTGTATCATTTTGTTTGTTTTAAGCCCAAACTTTTTGGTTCCTACTCGGCGGTCTTTTGAGAATGCAACATGGTTTTCGTGCTTTGCTAGGCGTTCGGGGAGTCTTTAATGTTATCCATCTGTATTGTAGCATTAGTTACTCTAGGCAGTTGGTTGTTTGACATGTTATTAATTGGTTGTTTACATATTCATGTGATGATGTATGGTCAGTTGTGTACTTGTGTTGCATTTTATTGTTTTTTTTGGGTTTTTTTTTTTTGGGGGGGGGGGGGGNTATAGTCTGGTTGTGCCATTTCATGGCATGATTTGAAGCCAAATAAAGTCCCTATCAGTTTGATGGATAGTGAGGGTGATTATCAGAATCAAAACTCAAAATTTGCTATTTATGTGTTTTGTGGTGATGGTTAGGAGTTTGAGGTAGAGGGGACATGATGGGATGGAGGTAGTATGTGTGTGGTTACAGCTGAGCACGTGAGAGGATAGGAGAAAGAAAAACGAGTCATTTAGATATAGGTGTTACTTTGTTCCAAGGAACAATAATGGGTGTAGTAATAAATTAACTTGGGTTAATTTGAGGGTAAAATGGACATTATTGAATATTCGATTATTTAATCATTTCTGAAGCCATCAGTAAAGCCCCTAACTTAGGGGTACTTTGTGAAATGGATATATAAACTACTAGGAGTGTACTGATATATCAGAAAATCCATAGGGTGCTCTGTTATTATATCAATCTACAGGCTGTGTGAATGATAGTTGCTCATTGTGGTTGTATATTATGGTATGACACTGTATCATTTTGTTTGTTTTAAGCCCAAACTTTTTGGTTCCTACTCGGCGGTCTTTTGAGAATGCAACATGGTTTTCGTGCTTTGCTAGGCGTTCGGGGAGTCTTTAATGTTATCCATCTGTATTGTAGCATTAGTTACTCTAGGCAGTTGGTTGTTTGACATGTTATTAATTGGTTGTTTACATATTCATGTGATGATGTATGGTCAGTTGTGTACTTGTGTTGCATTTTATTGTTTTTTTTGGGTTTTTTTTTTTTTTTTTTTGGGGGGGGGGTATGTCTATGGTTGTTAGAGCTTGTCCTTTGTCTGTAATGTAAGGCCTTTTGAACCAGCATATGATACTGGCGAATCTCTTCAATCAGTACCAATTAGTTTTTGATAAGAATTCTTTATCATGGTATTTATGCAGGTGTTCGTTTGTTTAAATCTTGCATCGCCCCTATAATTATAGTACTTGACGTGCTTCAACATAACTTGAGAGGGCGTGTATGTATGTATCCTTTAGTTACTCTATTAAATAGCTTGAGCTTTTGGAGCTGGTGGTTTAATACAACTGGTATGAATTTTTAATATGTTTTGTTTGTTGAAGTGTGGTGATTGTGAGAGGGCTCTAAATCCAGATCCATTTGTGGTAGAATTTTCTGCTCTCGGTTACTATTGTCTGGAAGCTCGTTATCTCGCTTCATGCCTTCACTGGTCCTGACCATTTTTTTCCTTCTGAGTCTGTCCTATTCTATGCTCACATCTGTATTTTTACTTTTTTTCTGACCTGTCTGAATTCTGAAGTCCCCATATTGAAGAGGTCTTACACATTAGGTAGTGTCATGGATAAAGTGGTAAACGTAAAACAAATACTTCAAAGAGGAGAAGTTAAGGCATAATGTAGGAAAAACCAATTTGAGAAGCAACTCATCAGATAATTTACCATGTTATATGGTCAGGATGAGAGGTCAATTCCCTTGTAATTGCAATATCATGATCTTCCCACCTAATAGAATACGAGGCTTTGGAAGTTAATTTTCTTGTATGCTTTGGCTTAATGTAAATCACACAGGCCATGAGGCTACGTCGTGTCTTGCTTACAGAATTATTATTAATCTATCAAGAAAGGCCTCTTGTTCGTCTTGTTGTCTATCTTGCCAAGGGTTCTTGGTTTAATTATTACATTCTAATTTGCAATCATATTTGATTTAGTATAATCATGCTTCTCAAATGGGCAAAGGAAGTCTACTTAATTTTGTGTATGCCACTTCCTCATGGATTTACATTATGCTTTTCATCATTATGTTTAATTCAAGGAGTGTGGTTTTTGGCTTGTAGATGTATAAAGGGTGAACCAACAATAGAGGAATACTATGAAGTGTACTCGGAGGCTGAGACGTATGGCACGCAGATATCGGAAGCCATCATGCAATCTCCTGTTTCCTTACAATATCTCATGCCTGGAAGAGTGGTTGTCATGAAATCACAATCAGTTGAGTGTTTATATTCAATTTGTATATACTAGATGCAATATGCAAATTTGTGTTCCCAAGGGTGAGACTTGCAACGGTAAGATTGCTTCATTATGATTTGGAGTCACGGAAATTGATAAAATTGCGTACATTTGACCTTCCACACCTTGCTACAATTATAGGTGCCTTATGCACTAGACCCCCTTTATACAATTTGTGTTCCTCCCTTCTTTATGGATAATATTTAGATAGGTGCCATTGTCGGATTTTGAACGGGATTGGAAGGCGTTCTATTTTAATTTATTTTCTTGTTTTTTACTCTCTTTTGTGGATATCCTGTGCTCCATATTGCACTTCTTTTCTCTCTTATGTCTTGTATCAAAAAAATTCTCTCTTACTCCTTTACCATTAATTTTGTTTGTGTTCTTTTGTTTCTTAATCGTTTTTGGTTTTTGGTTTTTTTTTTTGGAAGAAGGGGGGGGGGGATTTCTTTAAATGGTTTTGGGTAGCAATCCTGCTGCAAGGTTTTGAAAATAATGCTTGTTTTCCATAGTCTATTTCTGATGGTACCCTAACCATAATGCATCAGTCTGAATCTCGATGCTCAACTGCTACTATCACCTGATTTTTGGTCTTACTGAGTGGCAATTATTCTCTCTGTCTTGTTCAGTTAAAGTTTAGTCTTATCTGTTGTATATACGTTAGGCAATAAATATGTCACATTGGCAAAATTTTCAATTCTAGCTTTCTTTCACATTACTCGTGCGATAACTTATTCGGTCCTTAGCAGATGACATCCTTTGGACTGATTAATGTTTAATTGTTTGGTCATGGAAATTCAATTTTTCCTTGATGCATGACATGGGAATTCTTTTATAGGAAGTAAAATATGTGAAAATATAAGTTTCCAAGAATTGCATGGTGTCCTTGCAGTTCCATTTTTGGGCATCCTTCATCCCTACATGTGAAGAAGGTTCAAAACTTTTGATTCTCTATTCAATCGTTAATTGGATGCTTGCATGGTTAATATGATAATCCGGTTAGGAACACGCTGAAGTTAATAAGTAGCCAAGAGAAAGCACGGGGCTCAAAATCTTGAAGTCTAATTATCTGGATGTCATAATTCTAGAAATGTGTAAGGTTCAATGCCCTCAGGCCTTCTTTATTACTTCTACTAATATCTGGCTTCGCTTTCCTGTCAATTCGTTATCGGAGCATGGATGGTATAGGTGAACAGACCCCCCAAGTTAGAAAAGAGAGGTTGGACAGCCTAGTCAGGCGGATTGTAATGTCACCTTTGAATTGTGTGTTTCTATTTTCAAGGGCATCTTTGTATCCTGATTAAGCTATCGACTATAAGAAATAGCAAGCAATGGGTAAAGAAATCCAGTATTTTTTGAGGGTGTCTCTTCCTGGATGCATGAGTTGAATAAAGCTTACATTTTTACTAAGAGGGTGGGGAGATGTTTTTTTTTTCTTCTGTGCACATAAAACACTGTTATTTCTGTGACCACAACACTGCTCTACAAGCTTTTACTTGTACAAGACCTCTATATATACAGAGGTATACGACTACATAATGTACATTCTTAAGCTTGCTGATATCATCCCCCCTATGTGACAGGCCCAAGACCACTTACTTGGAGTTGTTGTGAAAGCACCTTCTGCTAGTATTAAACAATACATAGTTCTAGTGCTTACACCGGAGTTACCACCAACATTGCAAACTCCCCTGGATACTGGTAATTTACAAGATAAAAAAGGTCCAGATTTGCAGATTCTGGTACCTAAGTCAAAACGTGGTTTGGAGGAAGATTATTTTTCTTCTGCCACTTCTCGGAAAGGATCGGGCATCATCAACATAAAACTACCTCACCGAGGTAATGCTGCTGGGGTGAATTATGAGGTTAGAGGGGTTGATAATAAAGAGTTCTTATCTATATGCAATTGCAAAATAAAGATTGACCAAGTTCGTCTTCTGGAAGATGTTAGCAATGCGGCTTATTCTAATACTGCACAACAGCTCTTGGGTCTGAAATCTGATGGAAATAAATACCCTCCTGCCCTAGATCCAGTGAAAGGTACATCTCTGAACTACTTTATTTGCAGTTTTGGTTTTCTGTTTTTCATTTGTTCGGATTTGGTCCCATTCTGAAAGCTTGTCGTTTGTATGAGGTAGTATACATATGCACATACGGAATAGTAATTAAACAGGTTTTGTTTTTGTTTTTTTTGACGGAATTACTTTTTTGGTTTAAAAAGGTACTTGGAAAGCATTACCGGATGGTACATTAAGAAATAATTTCTTCAAATGTTTACTTTACATGGTGCACAGAACCTTGATTGTGGTGCATCTAGGAAAGATGAAAGGACATACAATTTCACCATTATCCTTTCCATGTGCAAAATCAGATGCCTTACCTTTTATATCTCTCTCCATCTCCCTCTATGACTTCACGATAGTGAGCTTGTTTGAGGATATATCGGTGCTGACATAACTGTGATTGAGATTATTTATCCTTTTTATTTCATAAACTACCCATTGCTAGATTGTAGATTGCATTGTTCTATTAGTTTGTAGGCTTTAGATTGGAATACATTGTATTGCTTGTCGGTGCCTAATATCAAAAGATCTAGTTCAAATGGGACATGATCCTTGGGTAAGATATTAAATGCAGATTGAGTCAACATGTCATCCATGGATACAGATACGGTCCATATGGGTACAAAACGATATAGGTATGACTATTAAAGGCATCCAACCCAAAACGAAGTAACATTGGGTGGAGAGACCACACTACTATATAAATCAAACTTGGATGGACCTCATCTTTTGATGTGGGATACAAGTTCTCTCTACATCCTCCCTCACGTTCAACCTGAACTTGTGTGTCAGCTAACAACCAAAGCCAAACAAATAGACAAACATAAAGAGAAATTCAAATTGGTGAAAAAGCTCTGATACCATGTTAAAGGCATCCAACTCAAAACCAATTGATGAGTGGAGAGACTTGATAGACATAGGAACCAATTTTGGGTGGACCTATTCTTTCAGTATAAAATACAAGCTCTCTTCACAATGACAATACCAAAAAAAAAAAAAATTGTGAAAATAAGATATAGATATAAGAAAAATGTCAGTGGCTATTATTAATATACAGTCTTATTCTAGAATCTTAATGATTTTCAGTTTTGTAATATTCAATTAATCAATCTACAAGTACAAAATTATCAAAAATAATATTGGGTTAACTAATAACCCTTCCCATACTTAACAACTCCTAAATTGAACTTGATGAATTGAACCCATAATGTATTTCATTGTATCACTTAAACACCATCTGTTGGTCTACCATTCAAAAAAATGTGTTGAAATTGATCAATTAGAATTATGCTAACAAAACAACCTTATTTAAAATTTTCAATTTTGGTTTATTCCAGATTCTTATATCCAAGTACTACTAGAATCTGAATACTCACACGCACACAAAATTTGACCCACATAGAGATGCACACACGTACATGCATCGCTCATACAGATCAAACACACCTAACACTATTACAAACGGGAATGCAAATCATATTGCATGATGTGAACTTTAATACTTGAAAAATGAACTTTTTTTAACTATACTATCGCCATTGTTTTCCTTTTTTTGGTCGAACTCCCACCGTTGTTTTCAAGCAATACTAATTAGGGTGATTGACTTTGGCGGTGGTGGTATTAGAGTGTTATTTCCTTTAATATTATAGGTTTAATTGTATAGATTGTTTATAATTATTTTTGTAATATTGTTTGTTAAGCTTAATATCTGCATTCTTTAGCTTAATTCGGATAGTTATTTCATAGGGCTATTTGATATTTGTAGAGTATATCGAAGTTGGGTGATATTACTATTCCCTACATAATTTTATCACTCAAAACCAAGTCACTTTCAAACTTATTTCGCAAACCCAGTCTTTTTTTTAAAACGTCATTCTAAATGACGTCTTCATGGTTCAAAACGTCATTCAAAATGACATTTTTGAACTTCATAAATTTTTTGGAATTTAGGTAAATTAATTCGTAAATTGTCATTTCAAATGATGATTTTAAAGGCGTCATTCTAAACGATGTTTTAAAATAACTATTTTTAAACGGAAACTAACATCGTTAGGTTACACTTAAAGTCGTCATTTCAAATGATGTGTTACCTAACTTTTCTTTTTGGTGATGATAATATTTAATTGTTCATCCAGTTTAAATATTTAAATTGTGATATTGAATTATTCATCATGTTTCAATATTTAATTTCTTTCAATTTTTGTTTTAACTAAAAAAAATTTGTGTAAATCAAAAACAAATTATTCATCATATTTCGCACAAAAAAAAATTACGTAGTGTAATGCAATGAATTAAAAAAAGTTAATTCATTGCATGACACTACGTAAAATGTATAAAATACAGCTTGTCAACATAAATGAATTTTGTAATGAAATTCTCCATGTCTTCAACTTTTGTTTTATGTTAAACAAAATATCTATTCCAAAACAATGTCACAAGTTCGTCAAATAATGAGATTTCCCACTTCCCCCCCTCCCCCCCCAAAATTGTACAAAATATGCACAGACGAAAAATGACACTAATGCATTAAAAAACGAATTTATTACTTGAAATATAGTCNACTCAAAACCAAGTCACTTTCAAACTTATTTCGCAAACCCAGTCTTTTTTTTAAAACGTCATTCTAAATGACGTCTTCATGGTTCAAAACGTCATTCAAAATGACATTTTTGAACTTCATAAATTTTTTGGAATTTAGGTAAATTAATTCGTAAATTGTCATTTCAAATGATGATTTTAAAGGCGTCATTCTAAACGATGTTTTAAAATAACTATTTTTAAACGGAAACTAACATCGTTAGGTTACACTTAAAGTCGTCATTTCAAATGATGTGTTACCTAACTTTTCTTTTTGGTGATGATAATATTTAANCGAGGGTGTCTCTTCCTGGATGCATGAGTTGAATAAAGCTTACATTTTTACTAAGAGGGTGCGGAGATGTTTTTTTTTTCTTCTGTGCACATAAAACACTGTTATTTCTGTGACCACAANTGAGGGTGTCTCTTCCTGGATGCATGAGTTGAATAAAGCTTACATTTTTACTAAGAGGGTGGGGAGATGTTTTTTTTTTCTTCTGTGCACATAAAACACTGTTATTTCTGTGACCACAACACTGCTCTACAAGCTTTTACTTGTACAAGACCTCTATATATACAGAGGTATACGACTACATAATGTACATTCTTAAGCTTGCTGATATCATCCCCCCTATGTGACAGGCCCAAGACCACTTACTTGGAGTTGTTGTGAAAGCACCTTCTGCTAGTATTAAACAATACATAGTTCTAGTGCTTACACCGGAGTTACCACCAACATTGCAAACTCCCCTGGATACTGGTAATTTACAAGATAAAAAAGGTTCAGATTTGCAGATTCTGGTACCTAAGTCAAAACGTGGTTTGGAGGAAGATTATTTTTCTTCTGCCACTTCTCGGAAAGGATCGGGCATCATCAACATAAAACTACCTCACCGAGGTAATGCTGCTGGGGTGAATTATGAGGTTAGAGGGGTTGATAATAAAGAGTTCTTATCTATATGCAATTGCAAAATAAAGATTGACCAAGTTCGTCTTCTGGAAGATGTTAGCAATGCGGCTTATTCTAATACTGCACAACAGCTCTTGGGTCTGAAATCTGATGGAAATAAATACCCTCCTGCCCTAGATCCAGTGAAAGGTACATCTCTGAACTACTTTATTTGCAGTTTTGGTTTTCTGTTTTTCATTTGTTCGGATTTGGTCCCATTCTGAAAGCTTGTCGTTTGTATGAGGTAGTATACATATGCACATACGGAATAGTAATTAAACAGGTTTTGTTTTTGTTTTTTTTGACGGAATTACTTTTTTGGTTTAAAAAGGTACTTGGAAAGCATTACCGGATGGTACATTAAGAAATAATTTCTTCAAATGTTTACTTTACATGGTGCACAGAACCTTGATTGTGGTGCATCTAGGAAAGATGAAAGGACATACAATTTCACCATTATCCTTTCCATGTGCAAAATCAGATGCCTTACCTTTTATATCTCTCTCCATCTCCCTCTATGACTTCACGATAGTGAGCTTGTTTGAGGATATATCGGTGCTGACATAACTGTGATTGAGATTATTTATCCTTTTTATTTCATAAACTACCCATTGCTAGATTGTAGATTGCATTGTTCTATTAGTTTGTAGGCTTTAGATTGGAATACATTGTATTGCTTGTCGGTGCCTAATATCAAAAGATCTAGTTCAAATGGGACATGATCCTTGGGTAAGATATTAAATGCAGATTGAGTCAACATGTCATCCATGGATACAGATACGGTCCATATGGGTACAAAACGATATAGGTATGACTATTAGAGGCATCCAACCCAAAACGAAGTAACATTGGGTGGAGAGACCACACTACTATATAAATCAAACTTGGATGGACCTCATCTTTTGATGTGGGATACAAGTTCTCTCTACATCCTCCCTCACGTTCAACCTGAACTTGTGTGTCAGCTAACAACCAAAGCCAAACAAATAGACAAACATAAAGAGAAATTCAAATTGGTGAAAAAGCTCTGATACCATGTTAAAGGCATCCAACTCAAAACCAATTGATGAGTGGAGAGACTTGATAGACATAGGAACCAATTTTGGGTGGACCTATTCTTTCAGTATAAAATACAAGCTCTCTTCACAATGACAATACCAAAAAAAAAAAAAATTGTGAAAATAAGATATAGATATAAGAAAAATGTCAGTGGCTATTATTAATATACAGTCTTATTCTAGAATCTTAATGATTTTCAGTTTTGTAATATTCAATTAATCAATCTACAAGTACAAAATTATCAAAAATAATATTGGGTTAACTAATAACCCTTCCCATACTTAACAACTCCTAAATTGAACTTGATGAATTGAACCCATAATGTATTTCATTGTATCACTTAAACACCATCTGTTGGTCTACCATTCAAAAAAATGTGTCGAAATTGATCAATTAGAATTATGCTAACAAAACAACCTTATTTAAAATTTTCAATTTTGGTTTATTCCAGATTCTTATATCCAAGTACTACTAGAATCTGAATACTCACACGCACACAAAATTTGACCCACATAGAGATGCACACACGTACATGCATCGCTCATACAGATCAAACACACCTAACACTATTACAAACGGGAATGCAAATCATATTGCATGATGTGAACTTTAATACTTGAAAAATGAACTTTTTTTAACTATACTATCGCCATTGTTTTCCTTTTTTTGGTCGAACTCCCACCGTTGTTTTCAAGCAATACTAATTAGGGTGATTGACTTTGGCGGTGGTGGTATTAGAGTGTTATTTCCTTTAATATTATAGGTTTAATTGTATAGATTGTTTATAATTATTTTTGTAATATTGTTTGTTAAGCTTAATATCTGCATTCTTTAGCTTAATTCGGATAGTTATTTCATAGGGCTATTTGATATTTGTAGAGTATATCGAAGTTGGGTGATATTACTATTCCCTACATAATTTTATCACTCAAAACCAAGTCACTTTCAAACTTATTTCGCAAACCCAGTCTTTTTTTTAAAACGTCATTCTAAATGACGTCTTCATGGTTCAAAACGTCATTCAAAATGACATTTTTGAACTTCATAAATTTTTTGGAATTTAGGTAAATTAATTCGTAAATTGTCATTTCAAATGATGATTTTAAAGGCGTCATTCTAAACGATGTTTTAAAATAACTATTTTTAAACGGAAACTAACATCGTTAGGTTACACTTAAAGTCGTCATTTCAAATGATGTGTTACCTAACTTTTCTTTTTGGTGATGATAATATTTAATTGTTCATCCAGTTTAAATATTTAAATTGTGATATTGAATTATTCATCATGTTTCAATATTTAATTTCTTTCAATTTTTGTTTTAACTAAAAAAAATTTGTGTAAATCAAAAACAAATTATTCATCATATTTCGCACAAAAAAAAATTACGTAGTGTAATGCAATGAATTAAAAAAAGTTAATTCATTGCATGACACTACGTAAAATGTATAAAATACAGCTTGTCAACATAAATGAATTTTGTAATGAAATTCTCCATGTCTTCAACTTTTGTTTTATGTTAAACAAAATATCTATTCCAAAACAATGTCACAAGTTCGTCAAATAATGAGATTTCCCACTTCCCCCCCTCCCCCCCCAAAATTGTACAAAATATGCACAGACGAAAAATGACACTAATGCATTAAAAAACGAATTTATTACTTGAAATATAGTCTGTCAATAATGTGATTGATGTTCATAAACATAGCGGTTGATTGCATACAGATAAAATTGATAGAATAAAAGTGTCTGACGTATTGTCATTTAAATCAAAAAAATCAAAAAGTTTTGGATCAAAAACAAGTAACGGATCTTCTAAAATTTCAATCTCGGCATAGTGAGGATCAAAATGCTTAATTTTTGCATACTCGATTATATGAAAACGATTAAGTCGATGTTACATTTGATCATTTTCACGTTTAAGCCTTGTTATGATCTCGACATGGTTGTTCGAGTTTCATGGATTGTATATATCAGTTGAACATGCCTTCGGTACTGCTAGTCAATGCTAACGACAATATAGTTATACTTCAAGCTCACAACATTTGTCATGTAACTTTTGCTATCATAGTGTGAGTTCGATATGAACACCCGAAGACGGATATTAGGTCGCATGGTTAACAATTACGTGTCCAATGTTTTCGAATGGGTTATAAGGGTCGATGAGCTCATTGCGAAACTCACTTTTTTTTCCATACCACGTTACACCATCGCAATTTGTGTTAGATCTAATAGAAGGAACTATGTTCGACAATATTGTTCGGCTAGTCGAGCGTTGGCATTCGTTGGCTGAAGATGTTCATTGCGTGATGAAGAACCTTCGGTCTGGATTGACTGGATTGCCTATTTGATGTGTATCTAGACATTTTTTTGCATATGATGTACAAAATTATGAATGATGGTTTATATAGGTCTGGTAGTGCGTTTTAAAATTGCAATGAAATTATATACAATTTTGACATGACATCACATTGCCTATTAGTGACGTGACTTTACACTAATAAAACAATGAAATGATGTCACACTGATAAAGTAATGATATAACAATATACTGTCAAAAGACTAACAGGATTTGATACTATCAAAGTGCTGATATGACAATACACTGATAAAACTATCTCACAACTTAACAATAATGATCACTTATCANGCTCACAACTTAACAATAATTATCACTTATCAAGATATGAGATTTAAACTAATATTTGAACAATGAGTACAATTATTANAAGACTAACAGGATTTGATACTATCAAAGTGCTGATATGACAATACACTGATAAAACTATCTCACAACTTAACAATAATGATCACTTATCAAGATATGAGATTTAAACTAATATTTGAACAATGAGTACAATTATTAATCTTCATTTGACATATAATCATCTAATAGATATTGTTCGTTAGACAATACATTAGTTTGCTCAACTGGTGTCAATTTTCGTTCATATACAGTTCTCACCATATTTGTTGCTAGTTGCAACATATAATATCGATACCTACGCACCATCATTTTATTATTCTCTCTTAAGACATGTTTCATTACTAATTTGTAGTCCTCTCTATTTTTTCATTGCATTGTTAGTAAACGTCTATGCGGTACCGGTATGTCAAGTTCTCTTAGTTGTGTGCATAATGCGTGTGATTTATTAGCACAAAACGCCTACTCCCGTCGTACTCCTGCATAATACTCTTTTGGATCGGACAATCTCTCTCTTGTAATCATTGTTTCGCTCTTGTAACAACCAAACACATTCACGTGCGATTGTTAGATTGTAGAGCCTCTTGATGAGGATATAGCTGCAATCATATCCATATTTTTGTTACCTATGGTAGTATTGTAGTGTAGCTTATTCGATGAAAGTGTTGAACCTTGTTTCTGACTGCACATGTGTCTATAGATTGTACTCTTCCATTTGTTGCATCACAACATCACTACGGGGGTGCAATAATCATCCGTCTTTGTAGAAAGTAGAACCGTTGGGATATACGGTTCTTGTGTGAGAAGTGAAGAGTATAGACTATTATTAGAACAACCTTGTTGACTTCCACAAATGTCATTTGTACCTAACCTCTTGGTTCACGTACAAATCCACATTGTTGACAACTTCATTGTCAAATACAACATCTAACATTGCCTCCACACTATCGTTGTCAACAATTTCTAATTCTATATATTTTGTGAAGTTGTGTCTCAATGTAGTAGGGAATTTACATATTAGCTTCAGATTGTATTTATTGTTATCTATCCCCATCATATTGTACTTCCTATCCACAAAAGTTGAGCGACTTGTGTCATGAGCTGACTTTATCACACGTTTAGAACCAACTAATATAATAGCCTACAATATCTCGCCATAAATAATGCACAGCTTCCAGACATTTTTAACAATTCTACAATAAAGATATAAAAAATAACATTAAATGCATAGTACTTTGGTAGATAAGATGTTACATAGGACGATGACATTGGTTACGGGAGGCAAGAGTACTTGGTTGAAGGTAAAAAATTTTATTTTATTTTTACTATCACACAACTATACCTTAAGATGTTGGAAACTTCCTTCAAAAATACAATAAACACCCAGACTATTAAATAATACTAGAGTAATAATCAGTCTAGACTTGAGTAACCCGCAAAAAAAAAAAAAAACTTGAATACAATTAAANATACAATAAACACCCAGACTATTAAATAATACTAGAGTAAGAATCAGTCTAGACTTGAGTAACCCGCAAAAAAAAAAAAAAACTTGAATACAATTAAATTCAGGCATTTTGGATGACTTAGAACAACCGATTCTAATATCTTTTCACGTTTTATGTCAAATATAAGAGTTTCAATTCTAATAACTCGTATAAGTCTAGGTTAATTCAATTGACTTGGTCCAGTTATTATTATCGACTAGCTGCTATTGTTCTACTATACCATGATACAATATTTATTTATGTCTAGATCTCCACTATTTGAGAAATTAGGTAGCTAATCACTTAGAATTAAACACGTTAGATTCATCGATAATCTTGATGTATGGAAAGCGGAGACACCATGATTTTATTAGACCTCTACTTCTTAAAGGTATTCTTGATTACTAAAATTAATATTGTTTCTCTAGCAGACAAAATGGGCATGAAATTATTAATTATAATTTTAAATTTAACAGATTTTAATCATAATGAAGTTGATCTCGTCCAACCCACTCGATTAGTGGCTTGGCCACTATATTAGGGAACAATTATTAAACAATTACAAACAATGAAGATCAATCCTAAATTAGGTATTAGAATAATAAGTGAAAAAATAACATGCAATAATTTACAATAATTAGAATAGTAATTTAAGTGAACAATTACACCAATAATTTACAATAATTAAACTATCAAGTAAATTCAAGCTTTCGAAAAAATTAGGGAGATTAGTGAAAAAACAATGAAGATCAATCCTAAATATAAGAAATTAGAACAACTTCGATTAACTAAGTGAGAGAGCGCAAATACCTTCACAGTAGGCATCGCCATCGGAGGAGAAGAGTATTATTTGTAATGTATACATCATTTTAGAGAGATACAATGATAGAGAGAGAGAGAGGGAGAGAGAGATAAGGCGAGACAAAGATTGAGCAAATAACTTCACAGTAGTCGTCAACGCTGAAGTGGTGGTTTGAGTCGTCGAAGGAGAAGAGTATTATCTGTAATGTATACATCATTTTACAGATAGAGATAGAAAGAGAGAGAGTCGAAAATTCTTCAAAGAAAGTAGGGAGGGAGTCTAACCACAGTTGCTGGAATTAGAATGTGATCTAAGAGGAGGGAAGAGGAGATAACATGGTTGGGTGGTCTGAGATTGACTTGGTCGCCAGAAATGCTTAAGGAGGGCTTCTGCGATTTGATTTTGGGAATTGTTGTCAAGTTAGGGCTTCTGCGATTTGGGCTAGGTCAATCTGATTTTATTTGTCCAAAACGTCATTCCAAATGATGCTATAATTTAAAAGTTTTTAAAGGCGTCACTTACATTGACACATATACATTGAATAAATTTCCTTTTTAAAGGCGTTATTTAAGATGACGTTTTTTAGGTAACCTAACACCTTAAGTAAACCGTTTAAAATAGTTATTTAAAGATGTCATTTTAAATAACGTCTTTAAAGTCGTCATTTGAAATGATGATTTATAAGTGAACTTATCTAGAATCCAAAAATTTTATGAAGTTGAAAAACGTCATTCAAAATGACGTTTTGGCCCATGAAGAAGTCATGTACAATGATGTTTTAACAAAGTGACTGGTTTTGGAAAATAAGATTCTGTAGGGAATGGGTATGGTAAAAAGCTCTTCATAGTAAAATGGGTTTGTATTAATTAATCCACTAATATGATCTTCATCATTCAATCATTTAAATAAACAACTCATTGAAAATATTTAAAAGTCAACGATCAGCAAAGATGTTGAACTCATTCTCTTGCTTTCACTTCCTAAATCTTTTCAATTTTGAGTTTGAGTGCAATGACATTTCATAAGGGCGTTTGGTTCTATGACATGACTAAATATGTTTGTCATTTTGGGTCAAAATTATAATTTTCTTGTATAGGAATTCTCATGTTTTTGTTCTGAATAAATACTTATCAATGTCCCAATCTTAGGAAAAATCAGATGTTTGCCCCCCCCATCCCCAATTTGTCTGATCGCTCATCCTTATCATGCTGTTGTCATATTTATTCTTATAAAAAATCCTGTCCCTGTCATAATTAAATTATAAAAAAAATCTAATAATTCTGTTTTATGTTTGACGTGTATTCGACACATACAATATGTATCCAGCACACATCCATACCACTATCTATATGCTACGATATGACAAACCTGATGGATTGTCCGTGCTTCATAGGCAGGAACCAATGGTGAGAAATAGCTACAATTTGAGAGTGATTGAAAGGAATCAAAACTTGAATATCCAGAATACACAAAGTGGAAGATTAAGTAAATGAAATAGGAGCATTAAAATTTCCAATTCTAGTATTTCCATGCATGCAATTTGAGTTTGCATGTCATCTTATGAATACAATGAGCTGAAAGCATCATTTCAAAAGAAATCTTCGTGCTTATTTCTATTTCTTATTTTATACCTCTAGGGCATTTTTGGTTTGGGTATAAATAAAGGATGAGATTGGGTAATTGACTCTCATCCAATCCATACAAGTGGTATTAATAAGAATACTATTTGATCATACTCTTTGTGTAACAAGTTTGGATCAAGGTTGGGATAAGGTATAATTCTATAATTATAATACCAAATTTATGTTTGGATTAGGTAATAGTGTATGATATTAAATTGATAATACAAAACAAATATTGATGGCAAGAGTTTACATAATGTGTAACTTTTATACGAAGGTATGGATTTTAGTTTGCAAGGTAATAAAATTATTATATTTTTAATACTTGTTAAAAATAATAACCCATGACTTTCATTAATACCTAATATTAGTTGTTATATGACAATAGTGAACTAGGTCGGGATTAATGAGAAATTAATACTGAGTCGCTATAACCTAAGCCAAACTTGATATTACATACCCCTAGAGTCTAGATAGAAAGATGCACAATTGTATATATTTGTTAAGAGAACTTGTATCTCACATTGAGTAACTAGAACCACCAAGGTCGGTTTATATACTTGAGAGATCAATCACCCATTGTCAATTATTTTTGGTTGGATACTCTAATATAGTATTAGAGCTGGGTCTTGCTTGGTTTGTGGGCCAAGTTTCTTTGCCCATTTGGATTTTCCGGCGTGCATGTTTGTTTGTTTGTTAGCCTCACGTGCGAGCCGGGGTCTTATGTGAAGGAGGGTGTTAAGAGAGCTTGTATCCTACATTGAATAATTAGGATTACCAAGGTTGGTTTATATATTTGAACGGTCACTCCACCCATGTCAATTGGTTTTGGGTTGGATACTCTTAACAATATTAATATTGAGAGATGTTCTCAATTATTTATTTTTGTTGGGTACTAAATCGTTGAAATTTTGGATATTTATATTGGTTTTACTTGTGAACTTTGATCTTTCCATCTAAGTTGTATGTTCTCCTAGTATGAGTTTGTAATGGAGATTCTATGTCAGATCTGAAGTTGAAAGACTTGAATCTTGTGGAAGCTTACTATAAATGGCATAGCCTATTGCAAAAGATGTCACAAAACAAGTGTCATGTTTGTGTTAAATTGGAGGAGCACATTAAGTTGGCAAAAGAGTCAAAGAGGCACAGTGAGGAAGTTAATGCTTTGAAGTTTCAGATGTCAGATGAAGCACTTCAACAGATGCCGCACTTTCAGGGAAGGGTATGCGCCTGTTGTCTGTATTTTTTCTTTGTGGTGGTTTCTTTTTGCGGCAGTTATATTTTTGGTGTAATTATTTGTGTCAGATCGAAACAATTCCTTGTTTAACTTCATTGGTGTGTCTTTGCAGATAGATGTTTTGAAAGAAATTGATTGTATAGATGCTGACCTTGTAGTTCAAATCAAAGGCCGTGTTGCTTGTGAGATGAACTCNTTCATTGGTGTGTCTTTGCAGATAGATGTTTTGAAAGAAATTGATTTTATAGATGCTGACCTTGTAGTTCAAATCAAAGGCCGTGTTGCTTGTGAGATGAACTCTGGGGAGGAGTTGATATGCACAGAGTGCTTGTTTGAGAATCAACTGGATGATCTGGAACCTGAGGAAGCTGTGGCAATAATGTCGGCCTTTGTGTTTCAGCAGAAGAAAACTTCTGAACCCTCTCTTACTCCCAAGCTATCTCAGGCTAAAAAGAGGTTGGTTACCTTTTCCAACTTTTGTTTTTAGTTTTTAGGGCTTGCATCCCTGAAGTCTTGTTTGATTTCTCATTATACCTGGTGGGATTTCGGTCAAAGTTTAGCACATCTTTCATCTAACCTTCAAGCCTAGACCATGATTCGTTAGCGCCATATCAGGTCTGGCCCAATGTACTTGTTCTGGGATCTGTGACTAGATGAACTTCACTTAGAGGGCACTATAATGCTTCATCTTAGATTTCATTAGTGAAAACTTTGGTTTTGCAAGTTTCAATAATTTTCTTACAAGAGGCTGTACAACAAAAAGATTGCTTAGAGTTCAAACGTCTTGCAAACCAAAGCCTCGCCCCAGTTGTTTGGGGTTAGCTACTTGAATTTTATTGCTGGACACTGGTTTTGGGCTAGAATTTTGGTTTAAACCATGTCACCAAGTCTTCATTGACTCAACTCATTAAGTATGGCCTTCCTCACCGCCTTGCATTGTTATTGTGGAACATGTCAATCATCTACACTGTTGCATGAATTAAAATCTATTTTTTAATTCGTTGCTCTTAGTGAAATGATGTAATTGACTTTCTAGCACTCAAATCTCCTAAATTCATGGTTTATTAACTGTGATGTGAAGTTTGTGTTGCTGCGGGTTTACTAATGAATAACCATATGTTGTCCTTGACTTTATGAGTTCTTATTTGATGGTGAATAATCTGTCATAATATATTCTTGGTGTCCAATCCCAAATTTCTATGCACATTAGGTTGTACAACACAGCCACAAGACTTGGCGCGCTTCAAGCACTGTTCAAACTGCAGATTGATCCTGAGGAGTATGCTCAAGAGAATCTTAAGTTTGGGCTTGTCGAAGTGGTATATGAATGGGCAAAGGTTTCTCTCTCTCTCTCTCTCTCTCTCTCTCTCTCTCTGTGGCTGGGCGCATGTGTTTTCCTTTTCTTGGTTAAAAGTTTACATTGGACCTTTCGCTTGTCCCTCAAAGGACTCATAGATGATAACTTTTTTGGGAAAAAAATGGCAGGGCACTCCATTTGCTGATATTTGTGAGCTCACCGATGTTCCTGAAGGCCTGATAGTTCGGACCATTGTTAGGCTGGATGAGACATGCCGTGAATTTAGAAATGCTGCAGCAATAATGGGTAATTCTNGGGAAAAAAATGGCAGGGCACTCCATTTGCTGATATTTGTGAGCTCACCGATGTTCCTGAAGGCCTGATAGTTCGGACCATTGTGAGGCTGGATGAGACATGCCGTGAATTTAGAAATGCTGCAGCAATAATGGGTAATTCTGCACTGCACAAGAAAATGGAATCCGCTTCTAACGCGATAAAGCGTGACATTGTTTTTGCAGCTAGCTTATACGTTACTGGCATTTAACCNCTGCACTGCACAAGAAAATGGAATCCGCTTCTAACGCGATAAAGCGTGACATTGTTTTTGCAGCTAGCTTATACGTTACTGGCATTTAACCATGTCATGGCCTGAAGGTATTTACCGTGCCTAGCCCTCTGAAGCACTTTGGAGGGTTTTGAGGAAAGAGAAGCTATTGTTTGTTGTACACTAAATGACTAACCTGCTCAATGTGCCAAATCTTTGGCAAAATGATATGCTGATTTTAGGCTGATCTGTATACTACCCAACCAACTAGGTGATGATGTACATTACAGTATATGTGGCAGCAAATGCCTCAGGTACCATGTTCTTAGCCCATAATAGCTGCCTTCGCCTGTGATTAATAGCCTTGTAGTCATAACACCTGTGACAAATGGTGACATCAACATTCGTGCATGATTTGTCAATTAACTGATATCATTGATTGATACTCAATGGCTACAATTTATTTTTCAGCTTTTTTAAAGGGGAGAATTACAATTAGATATTTTCAAGTTTGTTACTTAATCGCACAGTTTTTTTTGACATTTAAAATATTGCACACAAACTTCTTGAAATTTATACGCGCATAACACTTATACATTTACTGTAAATATATTCGTTAATAAATTATATTCAAATCTCTTGAATTTAAAAACATATATTATTTAAATTTTTTAAGTTTAAAATGTTATACTTAGATCAAAAATATTTCAAGATAAAATACTAAATATTTTAAATTTTACAATTAAAATTTGTTTTATTGTATTATTTATTGAAATAAAATTTTAATTTTTTAAAAAAAAAATCATAATTAGTATACAGTTATATTGTTTAAATGATTAAATTAAAATACCAAATTAACTTAATTAAAGTTAAAAGATATTGGATCAATTATAGTTTGATCTGTAGTTTAATTTTTTTAGTTTTATTCTAATAGATAGTATAATTATATATTAACTATGATTTTTTTTTTTTAAATTAGATTTTTATTTTTGATTTTATTTTAATAAATGACATAATAGAATATGAATTTTGGATGTAAAATTCATATTCTACTATGAATGACTTAGACCCATTGTTTAATTTTTTTAGTTTTATTCTAATAGATAGTATAATTGTATACTAATTAAATTTTTTTTAAGAAAAAAATATAAATATAATTTTAATTTTATTTCAATAAATGATACATGAATTTTTATTGTAAAATTTAAAATATTTGATATTCTATCTTTGATTGAAGTATTTTTGGTCTAAGTATAATATTTTAAACTTAATGTGTCTAAGTATTATATACCTACAAATTTTAGAAGGGTTTAAGTGTTACACAAGTACAAAATTTCAAGAAATCTGTGTGTAATATTTTAAATGTCAAAATGGCCGAATAATTAAGTAAAATACCTTAAGAAATATGAATATAATTCTCCCTATTTAAAATCAGGGCACTTGAATCCCCTCTCTCTCTCTCTCTTGAGAGAGAGAGAGTTTTGGACGGGCTATAAGATTTTGATACTTCAGTTGAGATTTGTCTTCTTTGTCATGGTTTCATGGGCTCCAAAGTTCCTTCAGTATTGTTTTTTCTTGATGAATCATCCTGAATTAATGTGTAAGGTACTTATATGTGTACAATATATTTCAGTTGCATGAATAAGTGAATCACTAAGAAGAAAATTGAAATAAATATATGTATATATTGAAAGGAATTTCACTACAATTTTGTGGTCATTTAAAGTGGGTATTTGGCAGGTTCATTATGACGTAATGGTGATGCCATCACATCAAAGAAAGTAAGATATTAATTTTCAAAATGACACGAAATTCATGTGAAATTAGTGAGAGTTTAGAATAATTAAATTTATAACATGGATCTGAAATAAAACGGCAAATTATCTTAAATAATAAACAAGTTGAACTAATCCTACCCTACCTACATGTGATTTTAACACAATAAACCTATTTACGAAGAAAATATTTATTTTGTTTGATCAAATATTTGTATAAATCCTTGGAGAACTAGAAGAAAACAATTTGTGCGATTGACACAATTAATAAAATAAATTAGATTAGTACTCGATAATAAACCCAAATAACACGACATATTGGAAGGATAATTGTAAGATGAGTAGTTGCTACCAGATACTATATCCAGGATCTGTGGTTTGTGGCTGGAGAAAAATATCTAAAGAGCCTTATTCTTCTTGATCAGATCAGAATGGTAGTTGGTTTGTAATAGGTCTTTGATTTGAGGTTCCGTTCTCACGAACCTATAGCAAGAAAAATAGTCACGACAAATCAATTGAGAGAATTTGGAAAGGTTGCTGGTGTCTATCCTAGGATCCCATAAATGATGCCAAGCCTACATTTCTGCCCTTGATAAAATGTGTCGTTCGTATCTGGGCTGTGATGGGTTTGAGTATGGAGTGAAAAAAAATCACATCCATTGACAACTTCTATAAGGTATTGATTGTTGCTCCTTTCACAAATTTCCTATTGACAACAATGTCAGGTCCCAGTAATTTGCATTTGATTCTATAGGTCCAATCTTTTTTAGTACACTGTCTCTTTAATTCCTTTCTTGGCACATCATCCATCATTAATGAATGAAAGACTTGTATAAAATAGGTCACACTGAAATGCTTGATAGATAATGTATCAAGAAAGGAATTAAAGAGAAACTGTACTGAAAATGATCTCTCTCCTAATGCTATCATCTTATCCCGCGAGCTACATGCTCTCCTACTAATTATGCGATTTGAGGCTGCATGCATTCCATCTATTTCTTTTAGTCATGAACTTGGAGCAGTCTGAACATTGCCAGAAGTAGAGATGTCATATGCCAGCAAGAATTCATAGACCACAAACATATTCATTGTTTTTACGGGTCTTATTATGATACCAAAAATCACTCTTTTTTTAAGTGCCGTACCTCCACTTTTCGACTAATAGAAATGCGCTACCTGTACAATTTTCTTATTTTATGATTTTTCACTAATTTATCCTTTTTTTTTTATAAATGGATGCAGAGCATCCAATTTACAATTGATGGCTGTAAAAGAACCGAGGCATGAAAACTTCAAACCCATGCCAGAATTTCACCAGAAAGGCGGATTCATATCAAACCCCAATATATTCTCAATCTGAACGTTTTACTAACTTAAGACATGTGATTAAAAATGCAGTAATTAGAAGGAAGATTCAAGGAGACCTTGTCAAACTACTTTTTACAACACCAAATGGTACATTCACTCAGTGAAAATCAGAGAAGAAGGAAAAGAAGCTAATTGTAATCTTTTTTTGCTTTTATCCACTCTCAAACTACTTGATATGCTCCTCAGCTGCCTTGTCAGTTCAGCACCAACCCTAAGAGAAATCAAATTTACGAAAAAATATATGTATGATAACCAACAACACCATTCAAGTCAAGTTGACAAGGTTGAGAAATAGAAAAACTTCCATCTCTGCCAGACTCGAATATTGTCCTAAACTATTAGCATCAAACTAAATAACTAGATCGATAGTATTTTGCAAGATAGGATACCAACATTCAAAATAGGTAGCACAACAAAGCAAACCAGATAGAAACACATCCCACTCTAGCAAAAACATCTATTTAAATGTGTTCACAGAAATTATAGACTTACCTTTTCCCTCCTCATTCCACTTGCACTTATCCTTAGGGTTTCTTATAGCACCAGTTTGAAGCCCTCTGACAAAAAGTCATCCCTAGGAGAAACAAGGACAAACATTTGAGGTGCTAAGTCATGTCAGGGCAAATAAGAAAGGAGGTGGCAAAATATAAGTGCTTTTCATGTGCAAGAAATGGATTGAGAGTATAAACTAGATACACCGATACAATGCAAACCACAAAAAATCATAAGGACCAACTAATAACATTTGAAATGGATATCAAATAAAGTCATTCAAAGAATCAAAACATGAGTTCATAACAAAGCCAATGCAATGCAAGAAATGGAAAAGTGGCATAAAAAAGAAAGCTGGATTGCAAAATTGTAAAGTTTTTTGTCCAATTGTACCTCTCCCTCCTATTCTTTTGTTGCTTTTTCTCTTGTCCGTGTTGGTTCCCATGATCAATCTCACCAAAGTCCGCAACAGGAACAAGGCTCCCTATGTAAACTACCACATAGTATGAATAAGGCACATAATCTGAAAAAGGCGAGCCACAAATCGTGGCCTCCTTGAATGTTTTCAATGCCAAGTCATACCAAAAAAATCTTTCACCATCACAATTCAAGAGAATTTCCTCTCCACCCTTTGAATAAGCCAAAGGCTTCATATATTCACGAATCGGTGCACGAGGAGGGATTACTACTAAAAATTTAGTCCAAGACCCATTCACACCATAATCCTTCATCACCCATATGTCAATATTGGTGTCATAAGAGCAAGTTATACAAATACATCCTCCCAATACCTCCAGACCCATGTCGAAATCCTCAATCAAATATTCAGGTTGTGATAACAACCTATACTCCTCAGTCCCAATATCAAAAGCAACTACTAGTATTGGCATATCTGGGTCTCGTCTTTGTTTCACAGCCCAGTGCAAAGCGCCGCAAGCATAAGCACCCCATTGACACGTGAAGCAAAGGTAATAAGGGAGTTGTTGGACTGTTCTCCATGAATTTGATTTGAGACTGTAGACTTTAACTTCAGAACTGAAAGAGTCACACTCCTCATAATAAAACTGAACTATCCTTACCACTTTGTAATCATCAAGGTTGGAATCATATCCAAATCCGTATGACATATACCTTAGATATTGAGGGTAGGGTGAGGACTGAGCAGATGTATCAGGCAACTTATGGTGTTTTCGAGTAGACATATTCCATAAGTACACGCCTTTGTCTTTGTTAGCCAAAAGAAGCAAACCATTGCAAGAACCCATCACAGTGGTAGTGCCGAAATTCTTTAAAGGGTGATTAAGCTCCATAAGGAAATTGAGTGAATCCAATTCACTTGAATAGAGCTTGTTACTATTAAATACCAGGCTGTGGCAGGCTGTGTTTCCCTTTGATCGATGAAGATGCATTTTTATGAAATTGGGGCTATCAATTAGTGATCGCCAACACTTTGATACGCACCTCAATTGCAGTAGGGTTGTCACCGGTAATCGCGAGAGCAAGTCGGCCATAATATCAATCGGAAGGCTCGACATGTCGATGCCTTAGGATTTCGGATTTGGGTTCAAAGGGTTTCACTCGAAGAGGTCAGGGGCTGAGTACAATCACAACTCACAAGGAGACAGTAACAAGAACGAGAACAAGAACAAAGGTGTGAGATTTGAGTATATATCACACTAGTATTCATCCAAAAGTCACTACCTTCGAGATGAAATTTCATGTAGCGGAAAGTAAAAATACACAGAATCGATAAACTTATCTATGATTTTCAGCGATGAAGGCAAAAAATTCTGGTTCTCTTCTCCTGATAAACCTTATCTCCATGAATTGAGCTTCATCTCTGTCTCTCTAAATTTGGGGCTTCCTTTCCTTAGACGGCTCTACTGAGAAAGAAAACACGACCAATAATTTACATTTACAACCCCTGAGTTATTATAAAATTCAACACTGTCTGATGATATTTCTAAAATAACAAGAAAACCCTCAATCAGAGTTTTCAATTAGATGATTTTGTGGGTCGGGCAAAGTGACACTTTAACCTTTCATTTGACTTAGTTAAACNCCCCTTTTGGAGGAGGAAATTGAGGGATTCACTTTGTCGAATGCATACTGTCCAAAGTCAAGTGGGTCCACTCTATTTGTTTCCCATCTTTAGGAGTAAATATTCGGTGTAACGATTACGTTGAATTAATATTATCATGTGATATAATTATTTAATAATAAATAATTAAGTGACCAAAATGCATCTATATTTATTTTAAGGTTCTTATTGTTTTATTGTATTTATGCATGTATATATACATATATTTGTCTTTTAGAAATGTTGTTATATATAGTTCATTGTGAAATTTTGTGTTATTGTGACGGTAATAATCACTATCCTTGTGCTCTAGCTAACAAATAATAATTGTTCTTGTGAAAAACGTGTGTTTCGGTGACGATAACAACTAATATCGTTATGAAATTGTATTAATGTGATAATAATAATTATTGTCACTGTAAAAATATGTTTTATTTTAATAGTAACAACCATTGTCATTGTGAAAATGTACACTAATATAATAATATTAATACAATAATAACAAGTAATGTCACTATAAAAATACGTTCTATTGTGCCTCAAAGTGAAATAACAAAAAAGATTAATTTGCGCCTTTACTACTAATTGGCCTCCTAGATGTCCTAATTAGGAATTTCAAGGGTGGCCAATTAATCTTAAGCCTAACTGACTGAACATATATTTCTAGAACGGCTACTTGTAATTTGCTTTTCCCTTTAAATGGCAATATTATCGAGGAAATAACTTTTTTCATTTATCGTTCTGATGAATTAATAGGGTAATGCTATGTAACTCAAATTTGTATTACAAAATGAAGGGAGATCAATAAATTAGCGGGTCCCATTTAAAGAAGTTGATGGAACCCACTCATCCAATGGTCTCCCTTCATTTGGGTAACAAATTTGAGTTACATAATATTTTCCTAGAAAAAAAAAATCAAAACGTCCCTTGATTTTCACTAATTGTCTAAATATATATAAGTGTGACACATTATTTAGTATTTTAAATTTAACATAAAGTTTTGATAAAGTACAATTTTTTGGGGGGTAAATATAAACACAGTATTATTATTTTTTCATTTATTGGCACTCTATGTAGTTACTTATTTTAGTGACAGTAGTGGATCACAGACTGTTGATAAAAGTCCAATAATTTTTCGCATTACACTACGCTTGATTGATTTTTCTTCTCGATGAATCGTCAACCGTGTATTTAGGTGAATACTTCATTTATTAACGGTAGATAATTTGTAAGAAGATAAATAAATAAAAAATGAGCAATGTTTTATAGACTTAAAAACTAAACTTAATAATTACAATGATTGATTTTATTGTGGGTCCCAATATTTTATTGAGATCAATTACCTATTTAATGTTTGAGATTATTAAATCTAATTTTTAAATCTAGTTATTATAATATCATATTATTGGATTCTTATTTTTATTTTCTATTTTTTTTGTATNGTTTGAGATTATCAAATCTAATTTTTAAGTCTAGTTATTATAATATCACATTATTGGATTCTTATTTTTATTTTCTATTTTTTTGTGTGTCTAGCATTTCAACTATAATTAGTTAGGACATGTTTGGAAAGTTTTGGGGTGATGGATCGGACTAGTTTTACTTTTATCAAATCATTCCAAACCTAAACCCTATTTTTGTGTATATGAGATTTATATATGAATTCTATGTATACACGTGTTAGATAAGTAACATATACGCATGTAGGACTCATGAATTTATAAAAATTATCAACAAGCATTTTTTTTTATAAATGGTTATATTATCTATTGTTTAATCCAATTCACACCACGTTTGTTTAATTTCAGAGATGAGTAATTAGGGAGTTGGGATGTAATTTGGCAGATATGATATTTTATTAGAGATAAAAAAGTTATTTGACATAATTAAAAATATATGAAATCTGCTCTTTGGGTTTGTCCAACTCCATGTATGTGGGTTTAATATACCGGACTACTTATAGGCTGAGATATGAATTTTGAGTTTGAAATATTAACTAACACAAAATTACAAGTCTACCGAACTATATTTCTTAAATCATCTTCCAAAACTCCCCAAATCCGCTAAACAAAAAAAAATTCTGAAATTCCGTGATAACCTTTAAATTACTGCTCGAAATGTTCAATATTGTCCCTTTATGCGTTGTTTGGATGGATTTTTAGAGAGACTTTAAAATGATTTTTTCAAATTTTTTCAAACTCAAACCCCTCTTTTACAAAGATGAAATTCAACATTGAATTTAGTTTATACCTATATTTGATAAACAACACATACACATATAAGACTCATGTATATATTATAATTATTAATAACTATTTGTTCTATAAATGACTATTTTACTCTTAATCAATTCAATTTATACCTATGTTAAGGGATATAATTGTCGTTTACATTCTTAACTCATCTTTCCAAACGCACCCCTCTCTAAGTTTAACGAGATCATAATCATAGGTTTAATATTTGGGCGGGTTTGGGAACTCATGATTGAAAACATGAAGTTTGTACTATTTTCTCTAAATTCATTTTGCCGAGCCCTTTATACCTTTTACCAAACAGTCCCTTACTGCATTATTTCCAAGAGCGATCAAACAGGTTTATTATTAATGGTGTCATATCCAAATGACTCCAGATAAAAATTGTTGGGTTATTAATGTACCTGGCAGGGTCTTGGGGGTTGCAGCTACTTCCGTAGTATGGTCCAGTCCAGTATTTAGCTCGACGCAGGCCATATGTTTGAGAAAAGGTTCACTCCAAACAACTCCGCCAAAGGACTTGAAATAGATGAGTATCAATGACCACAGGGTACCACCAAACTTGGCCCATCTGATTTATGCTGAAAGACAGCCTCAATCCTACTGTTTTTCATGTCCTTTTAGCTATGTTTTGTCGTAATTTGCTAACAATTGTAATGCATGCTAGCTGTTTGAGAAAAGGTCCACCCTCCAAACAGCTCCGCCAAAGAACGTAAAGAGTTAAATATCCATGACCAAAAAGGTACCACCATCTTGAACCCTCTCTTTCATGCTCAAAGACATTCTCACTCGAACTGTTCTTGATGTCCTTTTAGGTATGTTTTGTCGTACATTTTGAACCGTTATAGACGTACGTAGGAGTACCATTATCTATACGAATACTTGAACCAACGAAACAACAAATGCACAGCTGCATAGGTCCCTGCTTCAAAAGCCATGCTACTATCATTTGTGGTTATTGAGCTGGCAAATGAACATTTTTTCATCCACATTTTACTTAAGTTTGATTACAAAACGACAACCTACCTATGGGAGCTCGGAGTTTCAATCACATGCAAGAAAAATATCACGAACTTTAGAGATTTTTTTTGTCGGAATCCTTGACAAGAATAAAATAAAAAATAAAATATGAACCCCCCTCCACACACATACACTCAAAATAATGAATATATCTTTCCAATCATGCATCATTTATACTTGTTGCTAGCACAGACTTTAGACATGCACAATCACTAGCAAACTCAATACATCGGAAAAAATAAGTTTTTCTTGCAAGAGTCGAACTTTGAGATTTCAAAACAGTAACCTCTAAATTCTTGTCATCTGAGTTATCCCCTTGAATTAGAAGTTATCTTTGCTACCATTCATTTGCATTTAGCATTGTTGAAGATGTGAAGTATTTAGCTTAAGTTCAATATGACCCTGTACGGCCAAGTGCCCTATAACCTAGGCCCAGACAGACCCATTAACAGAATCAACTACACCTGGAGAGCCATTTAACGAAGATCCTCCAATCTAGTAAACCTGGAAATTAAATATGATCGGAGATAAGAGTCAGTCCTAATAAATCATTTGGCAGTTATTGCATTATCAGCTACCAAGTTCACTTACACTAGACTTTGCCCCATTAAAGGAAGTTATTCTCTGTGAACAAAGTACACAATCAATATTCATACACTATACACATAAGATGTAAATGCTTTATTTTCTTTCTATGTGTCACAGTATCAGAATTGAACATCAAAGTCTTAGGCAGGAATCATACTGTTATCATCTTGACCTTTGAACCTTTATCTTGCTTACAGACCATAGAAAATATTTGACCAACTATCTAACTTTCTACATCAACAATTAACGTACCATTGAATGATAACCGATCTATCTTGCGTATATGAACAACTTTCTTTTGCCCCTTGGGCTACCGGATGCCATCACCCTCTACATTCGAAAATCTATATATACTTGGCCTTTAGAGGAACTTTTTCTATCGTACACAATTCAAATGTCTTAACCCAATCCAACCCCAGCCCCAGCCAAAAATAAAAGTCTCTCCCTCCCTCTCTCCCTCTCTCTCTCCCAGAAGTATCAAAAACTATGATGCCAAATACCTTACTTCGACCATTCCGGCCTGAAAGTTCAAGGTAAAGCTGTACACAGTGTATTTTGATTGTTCATTGTGCTTGTTATCTGTACTTTATACCTTCATTTGTTAATATACTTCGTCCATGGTTTTACTTTGAGTCTTTGTGTGGTTTCAATTAGTTTTTTGGAGAATTGTTGTTAATCCTTTTTTTTTTTTCCCCAGTATGAAATGTGGTTCAATATGGGCTTATGTAGGGAAATAATTCTCATGAGTTTCTCTTTTAAGTTTGTACATGCTAGTGGTCAAGCTAAACCCCATAACCAACTTCTGTTTATTTTGTTACTCGGTTCAACTCCACCATGCATAAGAGCTTTTCAACTGACATATCACAAGAAGTAGGAGATTATACTAATTAGCAAATAATATACAGAGTTTCTCTGAAATGGAAAGCCTACAGGACCAAAGCACAACAAATTACTCCAAATTAGGGTGGCCACCACTGTCATGCCCCAGCAGTCCAACCTAGAAAATTCAAAAACTAGAACATTTGATCCATTTGTTAGGTCTATGCCGAAAAATTAACCCACCATTGTTCTGGGCTTGCATATACTGATACATTGATCCATGTGATTGCTTGTTCGATTTGACTCAATAAAGTTTTGTATACGGGAGTATTATGTTATACACTAAACTATTTTAGTATATAAAAAAAAAAAAAACAACAAATATAAAAACTAGGAAACATGGGACCTGTTGAGTTTTGTGTGTGTGGTTGTAGATGCTTTCATTTTCGTTTGAGAGCATCACTTTGTAAATTTGAGAAAAAAAAATCCACTTTAGTGAATGAGTGTCAAAGTGTTTATCTGGCAATAATAATATGTTGTTGCGTTACAATTACAAACTATAGTTTTGATGTAGACTCTTTTTCTTTGCTTTTGTTTACTTTTTATAATCATTATCTTGGTTGGTCCTTAGGAACCACAAGACGAATCGGATCTATGTTGAGACAGACTTATCCGACGTTCACCTACGCTATTCTATTCCGTTCAACAACAATCCAATAACGAATCAAACAAAGTTCTCTTTGCGATCAGAGACTCCCAAACACAAGTCAGGCTTTCTCCTCTAGTTCCACCTTTGTAGCTCATTATTTTCTAATTACTATGCAACAGTTGCCATATAAATATAATTTATTTTTTTTTTGGTTTTGGGGGTGGTATTGGGTAGCCATAGCACAATAGTGAACTAGTCTTTACAATTTGAACTCATTGAGTTNCAAGTCAGGCTTTCTCCTCTAGTTCCACCTTTGTAGCTCATTATTTTCTAATTACTATGCAACAGTTGCCATATAAATATAATTTATTTATTTTTTGGTTTTGGGGGTGGTATTGGGTAGCCATAGCACAATAGTGAACTAGTCTTTACAATTTGAACTCATTGAGTTGGTGTAGTGCAGTATATAATCATATTTGTTTGTGTCACTACTAGCATACTAGAGAAGTGATGTTATCTTTAACCCTCGTGGCACCATTATTGTCCTATGTGCTCCTTCTCCCTCTCTCACATCACATGCATTGTGCTGCACTCATAGCCTTTGATCAGAGCAGTGAGATATTATTATTATTATTATTATAGTTGTAATTTCAGACCCACGCATTGACTCACTGTTCCCCCACCTCCTCCTTCCTAAACTGTGTCTTATCTATCTATTCCTGTTATTATGTGAATTGCAGAACCAGCCGAATCAAGAAAATGGCGAATAGGGTCTCCAACTTCTCCGATCTAATCCAACGGGTCACTGCCTCTTGCTTGCTCTCCGGCCGACATGAATACNATTGACTCACTGTTCCCCCACCTCCTCCTTCCTAAACTGTGTCTTATCTATCTATTCCTGTTATTATGTGAATTGCAGAACCAGCCGAATCAAGAAAATGGCGAATAGGGTCTCCTACTTCTCCGATCTAATCCAACGGGTCACTGCCTCTTGCTTACTCTCCGGCCGACATGAATCCGGACAAGTCTCTGCCGGAGATGAGTCTGAAGACGAAAAGTACAGATCCGAAGATGAAGATGATGAAAAAGAAGAAGAAGAAGAAGACGGGGAGGAGGAGGAGAGAGAAGAAGGTTTTAGGGTTTGGGAGGGAACAAAGGAGGAAGCGAGGAATGAGAGGGTGACAGAGCTGGAGATGTTGATCGGCGAGGTGTTCGAGGCGGTGTCGGCGATGAAGAGGGCGTACGTTAGCCTACAGGAGGCGCACTGTCCATGGGATCCGGATAAGATGAGGGTATCTGACGTGACGGTGGTGGCGGAGCTCAGGAGGTTGGGGGTTTTGAGGGAGAGGTTCAGGAGGAGTGTTGGGAGAGAATGTAGTGGTGGTGGAGGGAGAGGAACGTGGAGAGTTGGGGCGGCGACTTTGAGGGAGGTGGTGGCGCCGTATGAGGCAGCGGTGGAGGAGCTGAAGAGAGAAGTGAAGTCTAAAGAAGTGGAGGTTGAGAACTTGAGAGAGAAGCTGAAGACGGCGACGAGCCGCAACGGCAGCGGGAAGAAGGGTAGGTCTCAGTCTCACCACCAATCAAAGAGAAGAGTCAGCTGCAGTAGTCAAGCTCAAGGTATTCTCTCTCTCTCCCTCCCTCCCAAACTAACTCGAAATGACGAATGTAGCCTTGACCATTGATGGCCTGAATCGTCTTTTTATTTAGAATCAGATTAAAATAAAAAAAATATATAAAATAAAAAATTGAATCAGGTTTGTGNCCTTGACCATTGATGGCCCGAATCGTCTTTTTATTTAGAATCAGATTAAAATAAAAAAAAATATAAAATAAAAAATTGAATCAGGTTTGTGTTTGGAAATGGAAACCCTTGATAAGTCCCTTTTTTTTTTTTTTTTTTTAGGTGCGACACATGTTTTGAGTGGTTGATTTTCAGTCTAAATTCAAATTAAAATTTTTTAATACCCTTCCATTACGGTTGGAGAAATGGGTATTTTAGTCATTTTGTAATAGCTCCGGGATCTAACCACGGTTCGTTAGTGGCAGTTGCAACGTCGCCGGCTCCGGAACTATTCGAAGCCACGATGAGCTTGGTAAAAGAAGCATCAAAGTCATTCACATCACTTCTACTCTCACTCATGCGCTCAGCTCATTGGGACATCACAGCTGCCGTGAGATCCATAGAAGCCGCCTCTTACTCCACCACCGCCACTGCCACATCCATGACGGACTCAATCGTCGGATCCAACCACGCTAAGTATGCACTTGAATCCTACGTGAACCGCAAAGTCTTCCAAGGCTTCGACCACGAGACCTTCTACCTCGACGGCAGTCTCTCCTCTCTCCTCAACCCAGACCAGTACCGCCGGGACTGCTTCACCCAGTACCGCGACATGAAGGCCATGGACCCCATCGAGCTCCTCGGAATCCTCCCCACTTGCAGCTTCGGAAAATTCTGTTCAAACAAATACTTATCAATCGTCCACCAAAAAATGGAGGAGTCTCTGTTTGGTGATTTGGATCAGAGGCGCCAAGTCCTGAATGGGAATCACCCGAGGAGTGAGTTTTACGGGGAGTTCTTGAGGTTGGCTAAGGCTGTTTGGCTTCTGCATTTGCTGGCGTTTTCTTTAGATCCGCCGCCGAGTCATTTTGAGGCGAGTAAGGGGGCGGTGTTTCATCCGCAATATATGGAGAGTGTGGTGAGGATTAACGATGGTGGAAGGATGGTGGTGGGTGGGGGTCAGGTTGTGGGGTTTCCCGTGAGTCCGGGGTTTAAGCTTGGGGTTAATGGGTGTGTCATCAAAGCCAGAGTTTATGTCGTACCTAGGCCATAAATTTAGTATTTGCAGTGTCAAACAGTGGTTGTGCTTGCCCGATGAATTGGGGGGAGTCTAGGGTTGAATATATTGTAGAAGAGGAATGGGGGCTCAGTTTTGGTGGTATGTAGTAAGTGTAAGTTATTCATCACGTATGACCAACGTAGTATTATGATTGAGAAAAGAGTATTTATAATCACGTGAAAACCATGAGATGCTCATCTTATTTCTAATAATAAATTGCATCTTTCAAAGTACGCTCCCCATTCGTAAAATAATTTCTATTTCTATTTCTATGGACAGAAGTTTAGATATTGACTGCACTAATAACATATCAAACTGCAGGGGGTGGGTTTCTTTCATCATCACTACATAAATGTTTGCCATTCCAATTCATTCCAATTATCTGGAATTTGTTTGTTTATTTTCTTATTTATCCTTTTTTTTTTCCCTTTCCCTTTTCCTTTCATTCTATTCTTTGACTAGTTAGTAGATAAGTAGATAAATCATTATAAAAAATTTTGGAATGATAAAAATTAATTTAAAAAAATTGTGATTAGTTAGTAATCGGAGAGTAGAAGTTGATTGACGGGGGTACATTAGATTTTAAATTAAAATATTTAAAATTATAAGAATTTAAAAAAATAAAGAGGGAAGGTTTCACAAGTCTCGACTCTCTTTCCCCTAAATTGTTTGCTATATATATGAAAAGTCAAAATTTGTAAGATATGAGACCCGTAAACTTGTTTTTTGTAAGCTGAAATTTGAGTTTCACGGACAATGAACATAATTAAAAAAAAATGTTATATAATTCAAATAAAATTTAAAAATTATCGCTCACTCAAATGCATATCTTCTTCTTCTAAATTTTGAATGAGTGAGAATAACTCGGATCAATTAATTAATGGCCCCGTCCCCAGTCCACAGCACGGACCACAACCTCCCAAATTTCTCAAAAATATGGCGGGAATTTAATTTACTTCCACTTTTAATCCTCCCGCCAATACAGCCCTAGCTTTCCAGACACCCTTCTCGGCCCATCACTGTATAAAACCCAAACCCCCTTTCTCCCCCTCTCACTTTTCCCACTCTTTCCTTTCAAATCCCAACAGCAAACCCTAGCCCTATAATTTTCGTTGAAAATTTTCCCGGAAAAACGCAATCAAACAAACCCATCTGAGAAAATGTTGGAACTCAGGCTTGTTCAGGGCAGTCTTCTCAAGAAAGTTATGGAGGCCATCAAGGATTTGGTGAATGACGCCAACTTCGACTGCTCGGCCACTGGGTTTTCTTTGCAGGCCATGGACTCGAGCCATGTGGCACTGGTGGCTCTGTTGCTCAGATCGGAGGGATTTGAGCACTACCGCTGTGACCGTAACATTTCTATGGGGATGAATTTGAGCAATATGTCGAAGATGCTAAAGTGCGCTGGGAATGATGATATTATTACCATTAAGGGTGATGATGGGAGTGATACTGTAACTTTCATGTTTGAAAGCCCCAGTAAGTTTAATTATTCCTTCATAGAGATATTTAGTTGTTTTTTTTTATCTGGTTGGTGTTTGTTAATTGCCGGAGTGTAGATCTCCGTTGTAACGGAAATTTCTAAATGTTTCATCGAAGATGGGTCTTTATTTATGTAGATTTGTTTTTAAATTAGGGTTATGTTTATTCCTTGTTAATCATGTTTGTGGGAGTTTGATGGGCAGAAATATGATTTGTTTGGTTGCTGGGAAAAGGAGTTTCAAAACAAAATTGATGAAATGGAAGAGATCCGAGTGAAGGGAAAGAAAAAAACAAAAGATGAAATTCAAGTCGGAAAATAGTAGAGATGAAATATTTACAGTTCTTTTAGATCAATTCCAACTCTCTCTATTTCCCATTTCACCTTGTNACTGTAACTTTCATGTTTGAAAGCCCCAGTAAGTTTAATTATTCCTTCATAGAGATATTTAGTTGTTTTTTTTTTATCTGGTTGGTGTTTGTTTATTGCCGGAGTGTAGATCTCCGTTGTAACTGAAATTTCTAAATGTTCTATCGAAGATGTGTCTTTATTTATGTAGATTTGTTTTTAAATTAGGGTTATGTTTACTCCTTGTTAATCATGTTTGTGGGAGTTTGATGGGCAGAAATGTGATTTGTTTGGTTGCTGGGAAAAGGAGTTTCAAAACAAAATCGATGAAATGGAAGAGATCCGAGTGAAGGGAAAGAAAAAAACAAAAGATGAAATTCAAGTCGGAAAATAGTAGAGATGAAATATTTACAGTTCTTTTAGATCAATTCCAACTCTCTCTATTTCCCATTTCACCTTGTTGGCTCTCAAATCTAACGAGCCCCCTCTCTATCCCACTCCCCCCTTTCTCTTATTGCCATTTCACCATTTTTTGTTCGTCAGCATTTTTGTTTTGGTTCTCTTTCTTTACATCTCATTGATTCATTAAAATTCCATGACAAGTTGACAAGAACACAAAATTGATTTCTCTTTTTTTGGTTGAATTTTGGTTTAAATATGACCATTAAAAATTTGAATGGTTGGTTATATGGTATTTTCAATTTAAATTATTAAAAGTTGGTTGAAGTAATTAACTAAAATAAAGAGCATAATTGGAGTGAATTTGTAAAAGTAACTTTAAAATAGAGTGTAATATTTAAATATATTTTGAGTAATTAAAATGAAGAGTTGAGTTGAGGTTACTCTTTACCATGAAAAAATGGAAATTCTCTGAAAATTTTCCTATTAGAAAGGAGATTAAGTTTTTCTTCATTAATTAGTTTGGGATTTTTTTTGAATTTTTTTTTCCTGCATTTGGAGTTCTGTTTTATTGATATTGGTTTGTTAATATCAATTGTTGGATTTTTTGGGGGTTTTGTAATGGACTAAAGCACAAGATAAGATTGCGGATTTTGAGATGAAGCTTATGGATATCGACAGTGAGCACCTTGGAATTCCAGAGGCAGAGTACCATGCTATTGTTCGGATGCCTTCTTCTGAATTTGCAAGAATTTGTAAAGATCTCAGCAGTATTGGTGATACAGGTACTTAATTGGTGGATTCTATTCTTATGAGTTACTAATTATTTACATTTCTATCTTATTAGTAATGAATGGTCTTGAGATTTTGTTTTATTGATGCTTGCAGTTGTGATCTCTGTGACAAAGGAAGGAGTCAAGTTCTCAACAAGAGGTGATATTGGAACTGCAAATGTTGTTTGCCGTCAAAATACCACAGTTGACAAGGTTTATTCTTGCACCCTGTATTTCTACACCTAGATGTCATTTTATTGAAACTAATTTTTGAAAAGGTGTCTAAAATTCTTAGGAATTGTATTAGGGGATGATTTATATGTTTGGTTTGGAATTTGCAGCCGGAGGAAGCTACAGTTATAGAGATGAATGAACCAGTGTCATTGACATTTGCACTGAGATACATGAACTCCTTCACCAAGGCAACTCCACTTTCAAACACCGTTACAATCAGCTTGTCTTCTGACCTTCCTGTTGTGGTTGAGTACAAGATTGCTGAAATGGGTTATATCAGATTCTATTTGGCTCCCAAGATTGAAGAGGATGATGAGGAGACAAAGCCTTAAGTTTAAATTGTCAGCATTTTTTTCTCAGCTGATTGCTTTGTTTGTTCTTGTTCTCAACTTGTACCAACATTGTTTTCTCATACTTTGTTTATTTGAGGATTTCACGAATGCAGGCATGCAATTACTAGTCTACAAGAACTAAAAAATCCCAGTGTTTGATTTTTTTTAAAACATTTGACAAAGTTAACCATACTGCATTCCCCCGACTCCCTTACTGATGTGTGTTAACCTGATGCTTAGCTTCGTAGCTTTGGGGCATCCACCATGAGCTTAATGCCAGACATTCAAAATCTCAGAATGTATTGAATGCTAGTGTTTTATATATACATGCGTTGTATATGATAATAGATTGGATGCATGTACATGGACAAACATCAGAGACTTTCTTAAGCTACCACAAAAGCAGTAGCTGAACCTGTAAAATGGGTAATGGATCCTGTAAGACTCTTTGAGGCACCAAAATGCCTTATTCTGTACACACCTTGAGCAGCAGAGGCTGGGATTCTCCACTCTATTGTTGCCTGACTTTGAGGACTCAGTTTAGCTGGTCTTGACCACATAAACCGGAGGCACCAATCATCATCATCATAAGCTGGGATCCAAGAGTTCTTTCCATGGAGAATCTCCACAAGAGCAAATGTGCCTTCTGTCATGAGGTCATTACGGGGGCATGCTGACCAGAAAATGACTGTCACCAAGTCACCTTTCTTGAAGGTGGAGTTTTGAAGTACATCAGTGCTGACATCCCCAAACTTTACACCAGGAGGCGTCGCATCTGCTACAACAGGTGTTAGTAAGCTGATTTGCTTGTCCAGTAGGTCTGGGGGTTGTGGTCCTGGTTCAACAACTTTGCCACTTACAATAGCTGCTGCGAGCTTTGTGAACTCCTTAATGTAAGCACCAAGTGTATGTGGACCAAATAGTGTGGAGGCACCCTGCAAAGAATGATAACAATGGAGAAATTGCAATCAAAACGAACAGTAGCAGTGTTGCAATATTCCAAGATACTCCCCCATCTCTAACTAGTCTTTCTGCTTCATTTGACCATCTTAATACAATGAGATTTAGAAAGTAGAGAGTTAAAGATGCAGACATTGAGTTCATTTANTCCAAGATACTCCCCCATCTCTAACTAGTCTTTCTGCTTCATTTGACCATCTTAATACAATGAGATTTAGAAAGTAGAGAGTTAAAGATGCAGACATTGAGTTCACCATAGACTGCATTTATTGGGAGACAGTGAGCAAACTACAGCTATGAATTCAACCAAGTGGAAAATGTCACAGCTGCAAATAGTACTTGGAATTCAAAGGAGATGCACACCGGAAACATATGCCGGGCAGAAGGTAATATCTGCTTGAGTCACAAGCCTTCAAATCAATTATATTTGCATTTGAAAAGGAAATTTACCATATAAAAATAACATCCTTTTTTGAGACCCCAGAACCCTAATTGCACTAGTATTCTTAAAAAGGTATTGCCGAAAGGAGAAGTGCGCTCCCTCAATGGACTTAGTTTCATATGATNGCTTGAGTCACAAGCCTTCAAATCAATTATATTTGCATTTGAAAAGGAAATTTACCATATAAAAAAAACATCCTTTTTTGAGACCCCAGAACCCTAATTGCACTAGTATTCTTAAGGTATTGCCGAAAGGAGAAGTACGCTCCCTCAATGGACTTAGTTTCATATGCTAGCCACAGCCTTCTTTGAGAATATATATACAAACCTCCTTTATCACTATAATTCAATGTATACTATAGATTTTTGTCATGCAGTATGTTTATTGACTGACCTCATATCTCTGAATCTGGTATTCCTCAAAAGTTGTCACGTACTGTGAATATGTATTAGTCAACCCTGCTATCACAATATGAGTGTCGTTGTTGAATTCCCCATTTCCTTCACTTGTAAGCAATGTTTTCACAGCATCACGTAAACGTCTCCCAGCCATTGTACTGAACTCTGTTATGAGAGAAGGAAAAAAAAAAGAAAAAAAATTCGCAGACTGAGGTATATTGACCATGACAATATTGCACCAAGAGCTGTCCTCTTAACACGCTTAAAAGATCGTTTTCCACTAAGATTGTACTCTAGTTAACACATTGAAACATGTTTTACGTAATCAAAAGGGAATGAGAAGGAAGAAACAAGCAAAGGCATTACCTCCAGGTACACTGAGAATGACCAGCTGCCCTATCCTTAGGATCTGAATTGGAAGTACTGAAGGCTGCAATAGCAAGAAGTTAAAATGTCTTGTAACATGTTCGGACCTATGCACAATATATATTCAGAATCATAATAAATGGAATTTGGGATTGTGAGGGGTTTCCTATGATGGCTTATTTCTTTTTTCCCCTCTTTTTTTGGTGTTGGGGGCCTTGGGGTGGAAGGAAGGGGAAAAGATTATGGGACTGCTAATAGTATAAAAGACAACTTGAACTCCCTTGCCATTCAAACAAATTGAACCATCATGGGTACTGATATCTTCTGGGCATAGTGTGAAAATGCGGAGTACTAGGTCAGCCATTCAATCAGTTGTTCATGTTCCGTGGGAAAAAGCCATAAGATACCATTCCATTGATTACATGGCATGATGCAACATTATGAACGTGCTATTAATAGGTGTGATTCCTATGCACGATTACCAGGAACAACAAACACCCTAGGATTTTCATATATTCCGGAATATGGTTCCTATAATTCCAACGTATAATTTGGCAATGCATAGCACCCTACTTCTGGGATCACTGATCTGTGGAATGTAGGAACTTCTCTGAAGTTTTAAGAATGTAACCAACCTAAATGATCCCCAGAACCTAAAAGCAACAGTTTCTATCTGGTTTTCCTTCTCTGTGGGACATGTAAGTCCATTTCTAGCTAATATACAATGGAAGACTAAATTAATATACCAACAAGTCAGTCAATTTTGGATAGTTTGAGTTGCAGACATTTGCCACCTAGAATCCAAGAGGTAGACAAGATGGCCAGAAGCCCGCTTTGTTCCTAAGTCCTAACTTCAAGTATCCCATAACCCTGGACATGGATTTATCTTGGTAATTACCTGGTGCATATGGGAAGAGGGCACGTCATGTACTGGTGTTGCAAGTGGCCCAAATTCTCCTTGTTATCAAAAAGAAGTGGAAAAACGAAAGGAAACACTTGCCACCTAAAAGTTAGTGTGTGAAAACATCTCAATGANTGCAAGTGGCCCAAATTCTCCTTGTTATCAAAAAGAAGTGGAAAAACGAAAGGAAAACACTTGCCACCTAAAAGTTAGTGTGTGAAAACTTCTCAATGATTTCGCTTCCATATGAAAGGCATGTATGGAGGTATACTCGCTAAAAGACTAGAAGTACACTCTGTGAAGGAACCATGAAGTTACTAGTTTTGACTTTTTAAGATGATAGCAACTCACCGCCCAATCGTATGGCTTATCCATTTCACCAGTATCAAGCAGTATAGGCTTTGGATGTTGGCAGTTGATTTGCCGCTGGTTTGGTGTTTTCAGAAAGTTGCGGACCATTCTCCAAAATGCATTCCCCTGAAGTAACATTATAGAAAAACCACAACAATGAAAAATAGGTGTATTTTATAGCAAACGAGGGTACAAGGTCAAGTAGATTCATAACATATTCAATTTCCCAATTACCTTGTTATCTCCCTGCTTAAAATCAAAAGCTCCAGGTCCGTCTGTTGTACCAGCAGCAAATGCAAACCCCATTGCAGCGGGACATGTTTTGACCACCTCACTACCTCCTCCCAGTTTAGAAATTGTCACCTCAAGGTTGGAGAAGTCCAAATAGCTGTGACGATAATCAACTTTCCCTTGTATTTGCTCAGATGCAGTGTTGAAAAGATCCACAGCTTTTTTAAATTGTCTGTCTCCAATAATACGAGTGCTGTCATATTCATCTGGGTAACTGCTAAGTACGCAAGAAATGAGATTATCAGAATGAGGTACTTGTATGGTTTATCCCAGAAAATCTTAATATACAAAGAACTCCATACCCAGGTCCTCGGCCATAGCACAACTCATTCTTCCCACCACAAGTACTGTGATTGAAGTCACAAGGTAGCCCAGTATCATTGCAGAATGCACCAAGCACATTTGGACTAACATCACCACAATTGGTTTGACAAAATGCAGATACAAATCTAGGCCTATCAGCCAACCTGAGAGAACTCCTCACACGGCTTGCAACACTCAAAAACCTGGTTGCTGGTTTACCAGAAGAAGACTGGAAAGAAGCAGCAATTTCCAATAACTCCTCATCTGCAATTTAAGGACATCCATAATCTTAACAAGTTTATTTTCTTTCTCCCATAAAACCAGATAATACCCTCGATGCTACAACTCCATCCCTTGAATCCTTAAATTACGTGTCGGATCTAAGTTAAACATGAAATCAATGGGGGTATGAAATCCAGGCCAGATGCTATCACGTTCACATACTAAATCTGTCCAGATTTAATGAAGAAAGTTTTGTGTTCATTTTTTTTATTCCCTTCCTTTTTGGGTTTTTCATGTCACATGTTCACTACTGTGGGCCTTCAATTATAGAATTTTACTTTGCAGTCATACGTTTATTTTTTAATAGAAACAAAATGTATAAATGCTTGAATAACGAGACCAAATACCCAATGTTTTTTATTTGATCTGAAGTACTCTACATTAATAGCACATTGTTTGAAGTTAGAACTTGTGGGTTGAACAAACGGGCTCCTAGACAATGGACAACACCAAGCACTCACTCAAAGCCTTATAGCAAAGAGCATTAAGCACTTGAAGGCGTGGTGAGTAACCAGTTGAACTGAGAATGTTCAACCATCTTACATTTCTTAGCCATTAGAAGCATTGGTTTACAGCTTATTTCTCTTATAAAAGACAAATTAAGCAATTAAATGATACATACTTCAAGCTAGGCTGTCTTTATGTCAAACTGCGCTAGTGCAATTGTCAAGCTTGATAACAAAATTAGCCGCTGACTAAGAGAAACCCAACATAGACAGGACACGAGGTTGGTGGCTGTACAAAAATTTAGTCAGGTATCAGTGCACCATTTGACTAGGTTAGGGTGCGATCCATTTACAACACAGATTCGACACCCCCAACCCACATATTAGTTAGTTTTATTTCCAGCCATATTCATTTTTGAGTTGATGTTCTACAATCGAAGTCGAAGAGGGTATGGACTTACTCTTTTCATGAACTCCAGGAATTATGTTTGAGATTCTTCGGGGAATTCCACTACCTTCAGGATCATTGGACCTGGCAATTCCACCTCCATTCTCATCAAACCAGTCTTCCATAAATCGTGCGGCAGCCCCTTTGTTGTCCCCACTTATCAACGAGTTTGTACTGCTCATAGAGGTTCCATGAGTTGCAAACCAGTTAAAGCTACCCACTGGACCCCATTCATCATCTACGAACTTCAGAAGGGTCATTTCTCTGTCAATATCATACTGGTATTTACTGCGTTCTGCTGCAGGATTGTTGAGATAAGCACTAGGACTGCGGTTTATGCCAGCATCTAAAACCTCTCCTGTTAGTTGGAAGCCCAAAAATAAGTAATTATAAATTCAATATACAAACACAGTGTATGATAGATTATCCAGAAAGAGTTAACTCACAAATTTTTAGCCTATACTCTGCTGAAGTAAATGGTCCCAATCAATAAGTAAACCAAAAAATAGAACATGCAATTGCCTAGAGAAACCAATTTTTACCAAGCTTACACAGGTATATGAAGATCTGTATTAGCTTATTTTTAGATAGTCTTGGCGGCATTAGAAAGGCACTGAAATAGATCTAGCCACATAAGGATCGACAATTTAAATCACATGCAATGCAAACATAAGGACTTCAGCTAGCTAATGCATGGGGATAATAACCCTCAACAAAGTAAGAACAATTATCTCTTCAATGTATAGACGTAATTTAACCGTCACTATAAAAATAGAAGAGGCATAACAAGATTGCAACAATACCATGGATTATCAGCAAAAAAAATGCTATACAATGCATTGAATAAATCATATCCAGCATTTTATGGGAACTTTATTTCAGACTAAGGGATTATGTAGCTTAGAACTCACCCCCTTTGGGGGGGGGGGGGGGAAGATAGGTCGGGAAGCTGAAGATATACCTTAAAAATGTTTAATCTGAAAGTGATGGTAAAAGCTATAAAACTAAGCTGTATTTTAGAAAAGAATTCTGTGTTAATAGTGGAGGAAAGTGTTTACATGTTAAACAAAATGCAAAAACTAGTTTGCTTCTAAGATCCTCACCCTATAATAACTTTCCTACATACAGAATCACCGTGTGAAGCACATACCTCATACACAAGGCCTAAAAGAATGCACACCCACAAGCCAATTATGAATTTTTTACCAGATGATCAATGCTGATTCTACCAAGCTATCTACTTTGCTATGAAAGGAATGAAAGGAGATACACAAATATAAGTCACAAGNTTTTTTGGGGGGGGGGGGGGGGGGGGGGGAAGATAGGTCGGGAAGCTGAAGATATACCTTAAAAATGTTTAATCTGAAAGTGATGGTAAAAGCTATAAAACTAAGCTGTATTTTAGAAAAGAATTCTGTGTTAATAGTGGAGGAAAGTGTTTACATGTTAAACAAAATGCAAAAACTAGTTTGCTTCTAAGATCCTCACCCTATAATAACTTTCCTACATACAGAATCACCGTGTGAAGCACATACCTCATACACAAGGCCTAAAAGAATGCACACCCACAAGCCAATTATGAATTTTTTACCAGATGATCAATGCTGATTCTACCAAGCTATCTACTTTGCTATGAAAGGAATGAAAGGAGATACACAAATATAAGTCACAAGCATCAAGGCTGGCCCTAAGTGCATCTTGAGCTTCTTGGTGGGAGATAGAGTTTAAGAGATGGATACCATTGTGTGGATAAGATTCCCATGATTTCATGGAGTCCATATTCCCATGATAAATTTCTTACTTTCCTCATGTGAGCAATATCTGGGAAAAGACCACTTCAGGGCTGCTAAAAGAGGACTTCACAAGTAGTAGAATCCGAAATGATAAAGGAAAATGAAACNGGTGGGAGATAGAGTTTAAGAGATGGATACCATTGTGTGGATAAGATTCCCATGATAAATTTCTTACTTTCCTCATGTGATGGGGTCTGGAAGGCCGGCAGAGTAGTGAAAAGTTAATTGATTCGTTGAACTTATCATAGAAATTCATTTCAACTTGACTCACTCTTGAGAGAAATAAATTACAGTAACCAAACATAAACCTGATGAGTCATTTCAGTCCCAAAAACTACTTCTGCAGATTTATGCATAATTGTGCAAATCCACTTAGCGAAAAGACAGGTAAATTGACCTCAGGCTATAAATAAAAGTAAAACACATGAGCATGTTAAGAGAAAAGTACATAAATAAATATGCAGTATGATTCAAGAGTTCATTCCATTACCTTTATTCACAAGAATTGACCCAGGCCGGAGGTTTTCATGAGCTTGTATGATGCTTTGTTCAATGCCATCAACAATAACATCAAATGACTGACGCACGAATCCAAGAGATGTTACAATATACACAACATATTGGAGATAACCCCCAGGGCCGGCATGGGTATGTATACCACTAATAGCAACATTCTTCTCAGTATATAGGTTCCCATACCTGCAATACCAAGAACAAAATATGGTTTCTGTAAGATAACCAATTGAAAACATACTCGTGTGAATAGAACAAAAGGATATGAGCAATTTCCTCATTTTTTTCTAATAGTCACAGGATGTAATGCATCAACTTGATTCTGCTTCTTCAATCTAAACTATAGTTGACTATACCATAGGAGTAACTTAATGAGGTAATGACTACCTTGCCTTCAGTCTCTCAAGCAGTTTAATAGTCACAAGTTGTGAGGCCATGCAAGCATCGAGATTCACAAATACCACACGTTCCCCTTGTGGCTCTGCAACAATAAATGCACGAGCTCGCAACCTAAAGTGAATGCCAGATGCAATCTGGTCCATGATAGCATAGCCCATCATGTTGACATCGGCTGCTGGCCCCGTAATATCATAGCTTCCAACCCCAATCAAGTAATTGGAAGCTGAGAGTATCCCTGTACCATTCTGTAGTAATAATACTAAGGAAACCCAAAACCATTTAATTGCAACTGGCCTCCAAATATTGAGATTAGGAAGGGAAGATAACCCCATCTTCACTCCTGAGAGATTAATCGATTCTTTGCAATATCCTTCATCAAACGGAAACACCATATTAATGTCATAAGATTCCTCATGAGAAGGCATGTGAGTAGTATAAAATCTGTCACAACAAATTGGGTTAATTGCATTAGAGGTCCCCAAAGTATAGAGTTTGTCTCATTTTAGCCCTCAATGTTTCAATTGCATCATTTTGGTCCCTGAAGTATTAAATATGTTTCTATATGGTCCCTTAAGCAGACAGCATCCAAATTGCTAATAATTTTTTATCATAAACTTGTCACGTAATACTCAAATATGGACAAAAAAATTATTTAGATAATTCTTGACCAAATTTCTACTCAAATTTTGTTAAATAGCTATCTAAATTAAACAATTTTGATCATGAGCTATCCAAATTTTGGTCAAAAACTACTCATATTATACATTTTTTTGTCAAGAGCTACCTAAATTTTATTTAAGAGCTATTAAATTTATTTTTTTTGTCTATATTTATGTATTATGGAACAAGTTTATGATAAAAAATTGTTAGCAATTTGGACGTTGTCTGTTTAAGGGATCATTTAGAAACATATCAATACTTCAGGGACCAAAATGATACAATTGAAACATTGGGNGCTATCTAAATTAAACAATTTTGATCATGAGCTATCCAAATTTTGGTCAAAAACTATTCATATTATACATTTTTTTGTCAAGAGCTACCTAAATTTTATTTAAGAGCTATTAAAATTATTTTTTTTGTCTATATTTATGTATTATGTGACAAGTTTATGATAAAAAATTGTTAGCAATTTGGACGTTGTCTGTTTAAGGGACCATTTAGAAACATATTCAATACTTCAGGGACCAAAATGATGCAATTGAAACATTGAGGACTAAAATGAGACAAACCCCATATTTTGGGGACCTCTGGTGCAATTAACCCCAACAAATTCTTTGCAAATGTCTTCAATCTAAAATACTGGTCAGTGCTAAAGTTATGTGAGTGTTACAACCACACAATCACTTTGAATTTTTTTAGTTAGGACACAGTTTTAAGAAAGAAAATACTAGGTTGCACAAGTGATGACCCCCATTTGAAAATAAATAAATATCAATTCATATTATAGTAAACCAAAAAATTGGATCAAACATATAGTTTACCACCATAATACATATTTGTACTGTCCGTTTCAATTAAAACGTGCTTCTGTTTTGTTATTGCCACCAACCAAAACATAAACAACAAATTTTTATATTATATTCACTTCGCAAAACAGGATTCCTCGATTTCAACACTATTGGAAAGCAAGATCAAGACAAAAGTTGATGTCCCTACAGATATTTAAGCAAAACGCATGGACTGTACAAATAAAGCAAGTAACATACACGCACACAGAGGGAGTACGAAACCCTATGATGGAATCTATCAATGTTTTTCTTTTGAACAGAAATTTAACAATGTGAACAACTAAAATTTAGGAGAAGATACCTCAACAAACTGGGAGCTAGAACCCGATTACATACAATCGCATTAGCAGTTTCTGCCGATTCAATTAATTTTCCGTCCTCCTCGTGGTAGTTGTTGCTGTTGTGTGTGTGTGTGTGTGTGAGAGAGAGAGAGAGAGAGAGAGAAGGAAGGGTAGGGGGAGGTTAGAGAGTATTGAGAGTCCAGCTATGATTTATAATGGAGTGAGGCTGAAGAAAACAATGTCGTTGCGGTTGCGGAGAGAGAGACAGAGAAGTGATGACTGATCGTTTGTCTCTACTTTCTTACAGCTTTCGGAGACTTTTATTTTGGATTCACATTCTGGCGCCACTGCGAGTGCATGAAATTTTTAGTGGGACGATGATGATCGATGAAAAGTAAATCAATATTGATCTGGTCATGGGTATACGGATCTCGGATCCTCCGATGAAATAGGGTCCATTAATTAGCTCTTTTTATGAGTTTGGATCCATTATAAATCAAATAATGAGTTTTTTTTTTAGACTGATGTTATTTAGACCTTTTNATTTTTAGTGGGACGATGATGATCGATGAAAAGTAAATCAATATTGATCTGGTCATGGGTATACGGATCTCGGATCCTCCGATGAAATAGAGTCCATTAATTAGTTCTTTTTATGAGTTTGGATCCATTATAAATCAAATCATGAGTTTTTTTTTTAGACTGATGCTATTTAGACCTAATTTTTAATCTAATTTATTAAAGCTATTAAATTGACAATCTATCCCGTCAAACTTTTAATTATTAATTCAATAATTATAATAAATTAAATTAATAAATTAGATCTAAATATTTTTTTTTAATTAGAGGGGGATNTGAGTTTGGATCCATTATAAATCAAATAATGAGTTTTTTTTTTAGACTGATGTTATTTAGACCTAATTTTTAATCTAATTTATTAAAGCTATTAAATTGACAATCTATCCCGTCAAACTTTTAATTATTAATTCAATAATTATAATAAATTATATCTAAATATTTTTTTTTAATTAGAGGGGGATCGAAATCACCACCAATCATTAAATAATTTAGGAGTTTTATCACTTGGGTCAACCCGGCGATCCAGACCAAATCATGAGTTGACGAGGACTCAAATCACAAGTTCATCCTTTAACTAAGAAGTAATGGTATTGAAAACTAATTCTATATAATAAATAATGCTATTGAAAACTAATTCTATATAATAAAGTAATTTATAATTCAAATTTTAAAAAATAAATAAAATGACTTTTATTTTTTGCGATTCAGATCGCTTTAAATTTTATTTTAAAATTAATTTAATGGTTAATATTAACACCCTAAATTTAATAAGAAAAATAAGGGCCTAAAAGTGTGTTTGGAGTGACTTTTTAAAAATATTTTTAAGAATTATTTTTTATAAGTATTTTATAAAAAAAATAGTGTTTGAAACTGGTCCACCACTATCTCTACCACCATCGTCGCCACTATTGCTACTGCCGTCGTCGTCGCCGCCTCCACCACCACTGTCGCCGCCACAACATTGCCACCACCACGACCATCGTCACTGCCGCCACTACCACCCCTGCCGCTGTCATCGCCACCAATACCATTACAATTGCCGCTGTCGTCGCCACCCTTATTACCACCACCATCACCGTAACCACGGTCATTGTCACCAATCATAACCATCATCATCTCTTACCACCATTACTGTCGCTCACCATCTCTCATTCCACTGCAACTGATGTTTAAATTCATTTATCTCTCTTTTATGTTTGTGATTTGATTGTGGATATGAATATAAATATATTTATTTTTTATTACTCCGTACTTTTAGACACATACAATAACTAGTTTATTGATATGATTTGTTGATCTAATTCATTGTGATATTTAGATTGATTGTAGGTCCTATTAAATATTAGAACTTGATGTTGATATGATGATTCATATAAAATCACATCATTATGTCAGTAAATTATATTAATTTTTTATGTCCAAATGATATTATTCTTAACGACGTTTGGTAGGTGGTACTAAACTATAGGAATAAAATAACTATTATTTAGTAATCTCTTTCAAATGTTTAGTACCTGGTAATCAAAATTCATTCACATTCCCATAAAAATGTATATTCTCATGGACAATAAGATTTGTTATTCCTTAATATTTATAATATAAAATATGATAAATTTCAATAAATTTATCTAATGATCTCAAATAAATTCATCTAACAACATTAACATCTCCCTTAAAAGTATTTACATTGAATTTCCCTTCCCTCCAAATTATTTATCGTGCCTTCAAACACTAGTTACCTCTAATTTGATAATATTTTTCGTTCCCAACTAACATTACTTGTCACTACCACCACCGAGGATTGGGGCTGAAGGTGGGGGTCGAGTGTAGGTCTGGTTTCTAACGATTTTTTAAATATATATTTATCTAAATATTTGAATAATTTTTTAATGTTATTTCAGTGCTTAATATTCTATTATGTTCCTACCTTAATTTCATTTTCTTGTAAAATTATTAATCCTATCAAACACAATGTATATATGCCCAACAAAGTGCATACGCTAAACCAGAACCACAAAGTTCGTCAATTTTTTTTATAAATGCCCAAGAAAAACCCATACGATAAAGTCAAAAATTCGTAAAAACATTTCAAGAAAATTGAAATAACCAATGGGGATTTACATTGCCTCTAATGTATTTTTGCCAATGGCAAATTCATTTATCTCATGTTCAACTCTATTTAATATTAAATTTAAAGAAAAAAAGTAAAAATACATTGTTATTTAAGTTTGATTTTTTGCATTACAAAATGTGTTTAGACAAAAGATTATCGTTAGTGTAATTATAATATATAAGTGGATTCTCATCTATACAAAGTTCAATCTTTTACAAAAAAAAAAAATTGATGAAATGGTTATCTAAGTACATCCAAGGAAAAACAACCTTATCTTTGTGTTTGTAATCATCGGTATCATGGTAAAAAACAACTTTTCGATCCTTAGTACTACCATCACTTGTTTTTCTATCCATAATCTAATGACAGAATCCTCGAAGAAATGATGTTGAACTTGACGTAGATAGGCAATTGCATTAGTTAATATGTTTTTGCCTCCCGCCGTTAAAGCAACACTGTATTGAGGAGGACAATAACGTGTTTTCTCGTAAATTATTGAACAGATTAACATCTATACTATTAGAGGTATAAGCTGTCTGTTTTATTGATGGCTACGATGATGGGATTGTCCTTAATGAACCATGGTATGAATACACCGATCCGGATCTTCTATTGTTAGTGTTTTTAACAGCAAGGGGTGGTGTTGTGTGAAACGACAATGTTTTAAAGAATAGCACTTTCTGCTGTGCAGTAGAAAATCTGGACTCATGAAAGCAAGCGGGAATGTTCGATTCAGATTGACATATATATTTTTGTCAACAAAAATATTATTTGTACTTAATTTCGAGATTTAATATGCAAACACAAGAAAAATTATAACTATTGGAATAAAAGTTGAGCTTCGTTTGACATTACTAAAACTTATAAATAAAACAATTGATGTGTTACATTGGTCTATGATTAAGTCAACATATCAAATCTCTATAATATTACTCTTTTGA